TACTTGATCGTCCTTTATCGTTGTAGGTTTCTTGTTCGGCTAGTTAAAATTAATACGGTTCAACCCGGATTTGGGGTAACTCAACATTATTTGCATAGTTTGACAATACTAGCTAACGTGTACTAGATAGAAAATAAATGACATTGCAATAATAATGGTCTAAATCAATTATAGACCCTTATATAAAATTAAAAACAGTTTCTGTTTAACTCATGAACAGTGTTATATTATTTGCTGATTAATAGTTTTTCATCTGGACCTCACCAATTTAAAAATAATAAGTTAATAATAACATACCTTATTCAGGGTGTAACTTATCAGTGACTTCCCTGTTTTCCCAAAAACTACCTTGCCTAAAAGTAGGGAGAACTGGTAAAGCCACATTTTACCATTAGTTTCGTTTGCTACATGGATTTTTTTTATTATTCATAATTAGTAAAGAACAAATGGAAATTTTACATACATTTGTGGTTCGTGGAATGATGACACATGTACATTAAAAAAAATGTTGTAGCTATAGTTATAGTCAATTATCAGTTGTCAGTGATATTTGTGTGTGTGTGTGTGTGTGTGTCCAAACTAAATGAGCCAAAAATAGTAATAACAAATAAAATAATTTTGTTTACATATTAAAAGAAGCAATGAGGTAACATTACACAATTTTTTGTCTAGTAAGTTAGCCAATTTTTTGTTAATCCAGTAAGTTTTGTTATGTGCTCCTTGTTGCACCTAGCAGTACTTGGTATACACTCCAGTGTGTAAGAGGTCTCTCCATTACCTTTTTTCTATCTAAATCTCATGTGCTCATTCTCTTGGTTTCTTCATCCAGTAATCTTCTCTGTTCCTAGCAGCCTCCTTGGCATCTCAGCGTGCGAGAGGTCTCCTCTTTATCATTTTCAGTCCTATTAATTACCTTCTTTTTAATTTTACAGGAATTAAGATAAGGTTGAAAGATGTGAAAATCTATTATTATTCAATTTATTATTAAACTGTACGCTTACTTGATCGCCCTTTATCGTCCTAGGTTTCTTGTTCGGCTTGTTAAAATTAATACGGTTCAATCCGGATTTAGGGTAACTCAACATTATTTGCATAGTTTGACAATACTAGCTATCGTATACTAAGAAAATAAGTGATATTACAATAATAATAATAAAAATATTTAATTATAGACCATTATACAGGGTGAATTCCTACTCGTGCTACAAACTTCACCAGTAGATTCTTGACCCTAAAATGAACAAAAAAGTTCATATTGACCATGGTCCGATTCTCAACCATTTCAGAGTAATTTCGCTTTTTATCGATTTTGAAAGATATCACGTCCTGGCGTCGGAAAATCGTGATATCTTTTAATCTAAACATTTCTCTTAAAATCTATAAGCACCGTTGAAATCCCCGTTAATTTTTAGAGAGAATCAAAATCATAATTCCATTGAAATTTTTTAATTTAATTTAATGCCCATTTAGTATGTAATGCTTAAGAAGTTTACAAACAGCTAGAAGGTCAAGGAAGAAAGACCCAAACGTTTTGCCACCTTCATCTTCTTATTGAAAAATTAACGGGGATTTCAACGGTGCTTATAGATTTTAAGAGAAATGTTTAGATTAAAAGATATCACGATTTTCCGACGCCAGGACGTGATATCTTTCAAAATCGATAAAAAGCGAAATTACTCTGAAATGGTTGAGAATCGGACCATGGTCAATATGAACTTTTTTGTTCATTTTAGGGTCAAGAATCTACTGGTGAAGTTTGTAGCACGAGTAGCAAGTCACTCTCAAACATTAGCAATCCTTGAACCACCATTTTTTCTCTTTTTGTCATCAACATCTTGGTCTCACAACCACTAAATAAGAAAATGACGAGTGCGTTGGAAGCGTTATTAAATCAGGTAGTTTTCCTCAAATTTGCTGCCTTCTGAGACTAAAATTAGAAACTCTGGATTACTTTATACACTTTCCGATTTACACAATTTTCCACTCTTTTTGTAGTTCTGGCTGAAATAAAACACAAAAAATTAGCCCAAACATTTTGCCACCGTCATCTTCTTATTGAAAAATTAACGGGAATTTCAACGGTGCTATTAGATTTTCAGAGAAATGTTTAGATTAAAAGATATCACGATTTTCCGACGCCAGGACGTGATATCTTTCAAAATCGATAAAAAGCGAAATTACTCTGAAATGGTTGAGAATCGGACCATGGACAATATGAACTTTTTTGTTCATTTTAGGGTGAAGAATCTACTGGAGAAGTTTGTAGCACGAGTAGCAATTCACCCTGTATAAAAGTAAAAACAATTTATATGTTTTACTCGTAACTATGTTACATTATTTTCTAATTATTCTTATTTCATCTGGACATTACCAATCGAAAAATAATCAGTTAATTGACAACGGACGTTATTGAGAGTTACCAGTTTCTCCCTTGTTTTCTCAAAAACTACATATCTATTCTGAAAGATTTAAACATTTCATTTCAGCATAAATTTTATTTTCATATATTGCGAATGTTTGCCGTTTTCCGTAATGTTATAAAATAAAATTTAACATTTAACAGAGGAGAGATGATATTAATCAATTAAGGCGTAAACTTCTCTTTTCAGTAAAAACACCAAAATGTAACGTGTAGATTGGTTTTATTTGGACGTTGTAAATATCCTTATGCAGGCCTGTGCATGTTTATTTTCCCAGAACCCTTTGGCAGAAATTTAATTCACAAAAACGAACATAGTTATAAATAGCACTTTGAGTAGAATATAAATTTCCATAAAGTTTACTGACACATTCTCTATTCTACATTTTAGAGATGGCTCCAATTACTTCATTTTCTTTGGCCTTAAGTACGGCCTTAGGTACGGACGCAAAACTTCATAAGTTCCTTAGACGCTTATTTCAATGAATACTTCAATGAAGACGACAAACGTTGCATCCACTTTTTTGCCTCTTAAAAATCAAACCATATCTCCGTTTTTTAATTGTGTGAGTTAGTGAGTACGTTAATTTAAAAACTGATAAAAATAGAAAAATAAATTGTCTGATCGCTCATAAATCACGGGGCCAGATACACACTAAACCCAAAATTAGTTTCAGTCTTGAAAGTTTAGTCGTTCGGAACGCCGTGTTTCGTGCAAATATAATTCCAAACAATAACTGTTTCTCTTTGAAGTTTATAAAACACTATTAATTTGTTAATTTACCTTTTTTTCAGTTCACAAGAATTAAGGGTAGGTAGGTTCAATGATTTGCAAATATTCAATTTATTATTAAACTATAGTCTTACTTGATCACCCTTTATCGTCGTAGGTTTCTTGTTCGGCTAGTAATTAAAATTAATCTAGTTCGACCCGGATTTGCGGTAACTCAACATTATTTGCATAGTTTAACAATACTAGCTAACGTGTACTAAATGATATTGCAATAATAATGGTCTAACTCAATTATGGACCCTTATATAAAATTAAAAACAGTTCCTGTTTAACTCAAGAACAGTGTTATATTATTTGCAGATTAATAATTTTTCATTTAAATGTTTCATTTCAGCATAAAATTTATTTTCATACATTGCAAATGTTTACAGTTTTCCGTAATGTTATAAAATAAAATTTAAGTTAATAATAACTTTTATTTTCATTTGAAGATTTAGTCAAGTTCGTTAGATTTGATAAAAAAAATAAAACATTTGAAAATCGGTTTAGCAATCCGCCAGATATTATAAAAATCACACGTAAAATCAGATACTGCGAAATTTGCCATTGTTTTTCAAAGTTGTTTTAACACATTATTACAAATATTAATTTGAAATGTAATAATAATTTTTGTAGTTTAAGTAAATTAAGATGCTGGATAGTTGACAAAAATAATACAAAAAATGGATTTAGTTCATTTACAAAACCGTTCTAAATTTTTGGACGAAATTCCATTCCGTAGACGCTTAATAGTAGGAATACCTAGACGACGAAGGTGCACTCACTTGCTTGTCTCTAAAATATCACTTCAGATCTCTATTTTTTAATTGTTTTTTAATTTATACATTTTGTGTTTTAAATGTTGTATATTAATTTAAACATCTGATAAAAATAGAAATATAAACTGATTACTAAAAATCACGGGGCCAGATACAGGCTAAACCCACAATTAGTTTCGGTCGTGCAGGTTTAGTCGTTCAGAACGCCGTGTTTCATGCAATTATTTATTTTCTTCTTGGAATTAGCGTTTCTAAAATATTATAAATTCGTTAAATTACCTTCTTTTTAATTTTACAGGAATTAAGATAAACTTGAAAGATGTGAAAATCTATTATTATTCAATTTATTATTAAACTGTACGCTTACTTGGTCGCCCTTTACCGTCGAAGTTTTCTTGTTCGGCTAATAATTAAAATTAATCTAGTTCGACCAGATTTGAGGCAACTCAACATTATTTGCATAGTTTGACAATATTGCTAACTTGTAGTAAATAGGAAATGTTTTATACATAGGAAGAATTCTACCCAAAGTTTTATCTTCGAAAAATAATAAATATTAACAAAAAATGGTTCTGGTAATACAAGTAGTTGGAGGAAGGTTGTTATAAACAAGTTAACAGTATTTATAGTTTTTCATGGAGAATGGTTTTCCATTATACTTGGTTTGTTTAAAAACAATTTGATTATTTGGACTTTGCAAATTTTCATAAATTATTTATTTTTCTAATATTATTCCTATCGAGAAATTTCATCACATTTTCACCGGCAAATAAAGTTTAAAATTTAATTTATCAGAGCGTAGTTTGATAGTTTCCGATCAATTTGGTCCGCCTACAGATCATAATGATTAAAAACGGCCAAATTATATGTTTATCACCCCGCAAACCCAAAGAGGAAATCTCACTGTTATTAGTTAGCCATTAAATAATGAATAGAATCTATAAATGTACATCTATAAATGTAAATTTATATTACATTTTCTAAAGGAATTTAATTCTCTTTTTCAGGCTAGATATTGTGACACTGGAGGACGAGAAGGATGCGAATTTTCCTTTATACATGCAACGAAGACGAGTTGAAAAGGACCAAGAGGAACGTCAAGCTGTAGACCATGAACGACGATTATGTCATGGATATTTTCCAGAACAGGACGGCCAACCAGACCACCGACTCGGGGTGCAACGACACGTGCATACTCTACGATTATTTTGAAGAGTACGACGAAGGGGAGATACTTTTCGAGTTTATAACTAACGGGATACTGCTGAATGTGGTCGGACTCTTTGGCATCATGGGGAATGTTATATCCATGATCATTCTATCCAGGCCACAAATGAGGTCATCGATAAATTACCTCTTAACGTGGCTCGCGAGATGCGATACTGTATTAATTGTTACTTCCATGTCTATTTTCGGATTGCCGGCGATTTATAAATTTACGAATACGACACTACTCGCGGGTTATTATTACAGGGTCTATCCTTTTCTGTCGTACGTCATGTACCCTTTGGCCCTGATAGCTCAAACCCTCTCCGTCTATCTCACGCTGACAGTTACTCTAGAGAGATTCGTCGCCGTCTGCCATCCGCTACGGGCCAGGTCGCTCTGCACCTACGGACGAGCGAGGATGTACGTCATACTCATAATTATATTCTCGACTGCGTACAACGTGACCAGGTTCTTCGAGGTGAATCTCATCGAGGAATACCACTTTGCGTACAACATGACTATCTACAGACCGGTACCGAGCGCTTTGAGAAATAACGAAGCGTACATTTACGTGTACATCCACTGGTTCTACCTACTCTTCATTTACGTCTTCCCTTTCATCTGTCTTGCCTTGCTAAACAGCGCCATCTACAGACAGGTAAATCACTTATTTTTATTTATCAATAAATCAATAGAAAACTATTTTGAGGTATGAGAACTATGTAAAGTTGCCCAACTCAGTAAAACCCTTATCGAACTATCCAGGAGGACTATTATAAAAGATCTGTGTTTATACGTTTTTAACCTAGTTCGAATCTTTGAGCTCAGCAATGAACGGTACACAAGAAAACCAAACTGAAAGAGTAACACAAATTTGTCCTCCACTGTACATCAAAAACAAAGAGCTAGGGACATCGGACATCAATTTAAGTTAGATACTTAGAACTATAGTTCCTAGATAGAGGCGTGGAATCTTCACGCATATGCTAGAGACCAAACCTTAACCGAAGAAATGGATAACTATAAAGGTTTCTAGTACCGAAATTGTCTAAGGACTTGACATAACGAGAAGATGTCATGTTCCCCCTAGCCTCCATCTTAGCCTCAGACTAATTATCAGTTCTCCTTACTATGTCTAATTACTAATTTAAAATACCCGATAGTGTAGATTGGGAGAAAGGAGTCCCAATTAACTGGTATACAGATGGTTCCAAGAACGAATATGGGTCAGGAGAGGGCCGCGGTAGCCGAGTGGTTAAGGCATCAGACTCTCAGCTAGTAGATCCTGCGGTCATGGGTTCGATCCCCACCGTCGCCTCTGGACATTTTCTAACGCCTAAGGGGAACGGTGGCCGCAATTGAAAGAAATCGACACGGCACTCATCAATGGAAGGGGCGGGATCGGATCTCAGCGACCCAGAATTGGGTCCCAACCCCCTTCAAAAGGGAGTTTCTTCTATGGAAGAACACCGGTACAATGGGGGCTCAAGTTCACATTTGTGTTGCGAGCCCCCCCAAAATATGGAGTCAGAGATAAAGTACAATAAGCTGTACAGCTCAGCTGCAGTGGTCAGGAGGAAACTCCTCCAGTCAAATCTTTTTAAAACCATCTTTTTAAAAAGGATTCTCCTCCAGTCTCTGGTATCCATGGTAAAAAAATGGGTCAGGAGCTGTTAGCCTTGGGCAATATACCACTGAATTTCAGGATTATCACTTTTTATTTCTCGGAGATTAAAAGAACTTGATATTACTTTTATGTATATTAAAAAAAAAATAGCCGTGTACTCGGATTGCCAGGCATTTCTAATGGCAACTACCTCATCGGTAGTAAAGTTCAAAACAGTTTCGGATGGCATCAAGATCCAGTCAGACAACCAATCAATCAAGTTTGGGTACCATGGTATACAGGTGAGAGGGGCAACAAGGAGACCGATAAATTGGCCACAGAAAATTCTGTCAGGATAATTAATCTAGTAGTTAGAGTTCATTACAGGGCCATCACAGAAACGACTAAAAAACTACTAAACATGGAACTGTTGACTGAACACGGAAGAACGAGGAGAAGCAATCCTGTGCAGATATTGCCAGAAAGAAGAAAAAAAGAGTGGAACATTCCTCTGTTTATGCGAAGACCTATGCAGCCTTAAGCTTAACAGAGAATTGGACAATAACCCATTCCTAAAGTAACCTAAACCTAATCCGCAACAGCTGAACATTCCTTAGGACAACATTGATCTGGTTCCCCTTTCTCAAGTTCCCTCCAACCTTTTGGTCCATCATAAGTATCCCAACCCTACTGTTCAAACTGGCAATTTAGTATAATACACTAGAACCATCCATGGACGAGTTACACTAAAAATCAACCTCCCTCTTTAATCCACCAAATTGAGAGGCTGCGTTTATTGATTTTGACATGTGTTTTCAAGGAAGCACATCTGTGATATGTATAGATACGCGCAGGCTATGAATAAATTCATAATAAGTTTAAAACAGATTCGTTACTGTTCGATATGAAATATTCATCCCGAGTTTAGAGAGGTGTAGCATGTTGATTAACAGATAACTATAGTTCTAACGAATTTTGTGCATTTGTTGAAAGTATGATTTTATAATTGGATCTGTTTTGCAGGTGCGAAAAGCGAATAAAGAACGTCAACAGTTGTCGAGGCATCAGAAGAAGGAAATCGGCCTTGCCACAATGTTGCTGTGCGTCGTGATCGTGTTTGTGCTGTGCAACATCCTCGCCCTCGCCACGAACGTCCTCGAGGCGTTCTACGGGATTATTTTAGACCGTATGGTCAAGTTGAGCAATCTGCTCGTCACGATAAACTCTTCCGTCAATTTCATAATATACGTTATATTCGGTGAAAAGTTCAAGAAGCTTTTTTTAAAACTTTTCTGCCATCACAGCCCCAAAATATGCTACGGAGGTAGAGAATCGCCCGACGGGCTCACGGGGCCAGAGGACAGCATAATGGCCAGCAACGGAGACCTCAACTTGAGGCATTCCCTAAGGAAAACGAATGGGAGTATTAATAAAGTCCCAAGGGCTTTACCTTGCGTCTATTACCCGGGAAGATCTAATTCCAAAATAAACGGTGACCACACCGATTCCACTTCTATAGCACTGAATCAAATCTAAAACACAAATCCCAAGGACAGTATAATCCAAAAATACCATTCATTTTTATTAATATGTACAAAAAAATTCAAATAACTAAACTCGAGAGAAGTGAGGCTGAACTGAATATAAGTAATTAATTAAAATTCCGCAAATTATATATTATTTAAAAGATGAGTTTAATGTATGATTTCCATACAGTATTTAACAAACAAATATTTTAGAATTTTTTCAAATTTCTTAACCAATTCAACCAAATAGTAAAATATTAGTATTTGCTAAATCAGGGAATTTAAACATTTTTTTACTGTTTATTTCATTATACTTTGATGATTTCTTCTTCAATTAGAATTTTTTACTGAATTTAATTAATGAATAATTGAATGGGTTGATTTGTTTGGGCATAAAGTTGAAAACTTGTATTGACAAGTTGTTGCAATGTGTTTAAACTATTGCATCACACTGGAAAGATACAGAATACCTAAATTGTAATCTGGATGAGTTCAATTCATCCGACAACCGACTGACTAATTAACCATACATACCAAAAAGATCAATATGATTCATTTTCCTTTTGGCAATTGGTGCATGCCCCATTTATAATCTGTATTCTGTTTTCATTCAAGTATTAACTGTATTATTCAGACAGTCTAACAAAAAAAAAAAAGAATAATTAAAACCATGATAAAAATGACTTGTAACATTAGTTAGTTTACAAAAACAAAGACAAAAGTGTTTAGTGAACAATGATCTTGAGTTTGAGAAAGAAATTACTATTTAAAATGGTGCAAAAGATTAAATTTAAAGTTTTGCCAAATATTAATATTTTTTTAGCCCGAGTAAAAATGAAAAAATGCAATCACCTTTTTGTAAATAATGAAATCTAGCTACTCCTGCTTTAAATAATTTAATATTACAACATTTTACTACTATTTGCTATTGAATAGATCATTTTTTTATTTTAAAAAATTGTAATAATAAAAAAATGGTTGTGCATATAATGTTTTTCCCAACCAGTTAGAGCCCTTCAAATGTGTACTTTCAAATAGAAACCATTGTAACAAAATTATTGTGCAGCTTCAATGTAAAGTTCCAAAAAGAAAAAAAATATTGTCATAATAAACAAGTAATTTATAATCACTTATATGAGCATTAGTGTTGAAAATCTGTGCAAAACCCAATTTGAAACTGTTTTTATTTTTAAAAAATGTATTTTATTATTTTCTTTAATTACAACAGTTTTTATTTCATGTTTATTTGTTTCATTATAGTTGTTAAAATATTTTTGTTTCTTCTATTAGGGATATGCAGTCACTTTGCACAAGAGAAAAATTATTTTGTTTTACTGGCATTTCAGAAAATGTCTATCCTTTCACAATTTTGATGAGTATTCTTCCTTCTACTTCTAAATTTGCATCCCATTTTTCGAAAAAAAAAATTCATTTTAAATACACAATCAAAAACTATCAATCATTAACATTATTAACAGATAAATAAATAATTTTATTTACTAATTTAATGCATTAAAACAATTATAACTAACAAATACTTAACTAGATGCACACATCATTAAATAAAATATACAAAAATTATAATTATAACACTATATAAGAATATCAAGCATATTAAAAATAAAAATTAATGATAATAAAATATTGGCATTTACTTTTGATTTGATTTTTTATTATTTGTTATGCTTTTTTTAATCATAGGTGATCATAACAATCATTGAAGATTTCACTATTTTGTATGAAATTCACCGCTAGCCTTTATGGAGAAAGAAATCTTTAAACATTATGTTTTAAATATTTTTTTTATTTACTGCTATTGTCACATTTTTTAAATCTAAATTATTATTTTTCTTACTTTTCTTCGTTCTTATTGCTGTTATTCATGCATGAACTGATGCTAAGTAAGTTTCTTCAAATTATATCGTTTCCTGGCTGCATATTTTTCTAAATGGCTAGAGCTACCAATGAAGATGGGGAGATAATCACTGATATCCAAATAAGGCCTACAAAAAGAAATTTGCAATTTTTGTTTTTTTCTGCCTGAATAGTCATGTTGATAAATTTATTTATGTAAATATCAGCATTTCACTGACATTTACACATTTCAATTTTCACTATTTATTTTTATAAAATGGTTGTTTATAACTAGACCTGAAAATACTTTACTTTCTACTCTATTTTGATTTTAAAAACATAAAAAGTTTCTGTTAATGTCATTTTCATGAATAACTTGATCTTTCATGATTTTTTTCCTTGAGAAAGGAAATCAATTTTTTAGAAACAACGGCTAAATGAAAAAGGTTTTTCTATTGCCAAAATGACTGTACATCCCAAATAGAAGATTAAAAAAACATAATCAATCTTAACAGTGACCATTTCTACTTATTCAAAAATTTTCTATTGATAAACTTGAATTTACAAAGAGTGTTAGTTTTTAATTACATCTCAATAAAAGAAACTATCTATAACAGTAATTTTTTAATTATTAATAAAAATCGCAATCATGTGAATGATTAACTAAGAGTAAATTTGTCTCAAAAATTTGTAAAACTTACTTATTCCAGCATTTTATCAGAGAAAAAAATTGACCTGAAACTAATGATTGAAGTAATACATTCTGAAAAATGACGTTTTTGTTATATTTGGCTCGAACATTTTTTCCTTTGTCAGTTAGAAAATTCAATTACATTTAACTAATAGAAATTCTAGTGATTATATAAAAAAAGCTTTAGCTCAAATAAATTTTGCATACTACTCAACAATACCAAATCAATTTGTTTTTTCATTAAGCTAAATTTGTTCTGCTACAATTATTTTATGCTCATGAACATAGTTAAATTATTTATTAAAAAAATTTACTGAGGTTAAAAAATATATTTAGAAGTTTATTGTACATAATTTTTGAAATAATTTCTAAGACTGTGATAATTTAAAGGGTTCTTTTAATTTTTTATACAGTAGGTTAAACGAGAGAGAAAATTGATATCTGTAAACTCAATTAAAAGCTGTATTGCATATCAAATAAATAACAAAAGTTAATCATTATGAAAGTTTTTCCCCTTGCTGACTTACTATTGTACAAAACCTACCTTTTTCATAAATTCTAATAAATTATATCAAATGATCTGTATACTTAGAAATATGTTTTAACTATTACCTTAATTTATTCAAAGTATGTAAATACATGAGTCTGTCAATATGCATTGAAGACAGAATGTTGAAGGTTTTCAAGATCTGTACAAAGATATATTTTACTAGATAATAAAAATATCATAAACATGCATAGTTAAAATTAATGCAATAACAAACATGTAATTTGATAATTTGGTTAACACGGTAAAAGTGTAATATTTATATATATAAAAAATATATTTTACCCTTGAAAATGTATTAGAATAAATATTTTTTTATATGGAAATATTCAATTTAATTTAAACCAGCTTATAGCATGTAAGTTATTTTTTAAAGAAGGAATTGTTTTAAGACTTCTGTTTTTATTATGTACATTATATGACCACAAATAGTGTATATTACATACATGTATATAATAAATAAAAATAATTTTTTAAGGTGTTTTCTTTTCCTTTGCCAAATGTTCATACATTCCACCAAATTTTCTGTTGAATAATATCACATACTTCCTTAACTGTATATCACCTTTCCAATTTGTTTTAAAATTGACATTTAAAAAAACGTTAATATTGACCAACAGCATCTGGAAGTTGGTAGGATAAATTGTTAAGACAATATAAACGACTGTCTCAATATAAAAATCATTATTTCCTTCCTTATGTTAATTTCGCTTGATTTAATAAATACGAAAGAACACTGTTTTAATTAAGAGTCGTGGAATACAAAACACAAAAAAAAAGGATAATTTATTTCATTTTTTCCTGGGATATTTACAAAGGGCTTTCATTTGCATCCTATGCTATTTCAATCCTTGCCTTTGACTTTTAAGCAAAATATGCTTTGCACACGGTCAATAACAAAATAAAAACGCTTTAACAAACAAAGTCGTTTAATTCTGTCTTAATTAAATACTACTGCTTGCTTAATTTTTTTTTTTTTTTTTTTTTTTTTTTTTTTTTTTTTTTTTTTTTTTTTTTTTTTTTAAAGGTATGTTTCAAAAGATAGGCACATTTATAGGCAGTTTAAAAATAATGAATATTCTAAAGATTTAAACAAATGAATTTATTATTAAGAATATATTGGTTCAATACCAATATAGTATTTAATATGTTTGTGAATTTTCTCTACCTTGTACAGTGGTCAGTGTTTTGTCAATGTGTTCTCAGCACTGGTCACTTTGAAAAATTATTTAAACAAAGTACACCAGGTAATTGAAACAAAAACAACTTCACAATTTTTTTTAATAACGCGTAACAATGTTCAATTTTACAATTGATCTATTTCCGCTTTTTCATTATTGTTACTATGTTATATATGTACAATTTAAGTAATAACTTTTAACTTGGAAATATACATATCAACTCTTAACAATTTTTTTATTTCCACTTGATAATTTGAATTATTTCTGTGGACCCTTGGATTTTGAATTATCAAGAGTCGACTGTATATTATAGATTATATCCAATGGCTTAATGGAGTTTCTGTCTAGCGACTTCCAGCTTGATATTATATAACAAAATTTTTGTTGTTTACATTATTTTCTATTGAGGAAAAAATATTAGATTAAAAACCCCAGCTATCAATGACAAAGTTGTAGGAGAGTGTTCATTATTCTCCTGTGCATGTACCTATCATCCAAGCAATAGGCGTCTATTTGGCAGCAGATTGTACTGGTAATAGTTTCACAATGCTTACAAAATTTAATGGTTGCATCTCTGATCCCAGTACCATCAGCCTGTTTTACACATTGTGCAGTTTCGATATGGTATATATCAGGGCAAGTCTGTCGTAAGTCTCAGAAACTTGTTCTGCACAACAGCAGCCTGGTGACATGAGTCCTGCATGCCAGGCTCCAGGAGGGGAATGGAGACTGCAATGGTTTTAACGTTGACACGGTGCTCACCACTTATGGTAAAGGTCCAGTGTTTTTATCCAGTCCATCATACTTATAAATGGACTTTTTTTTCAAAAGATTTCATATAACCTAGTAGTTAAATATAAAGGAGTATAAATTTTGACTGCAAAAGAAAAGCAAGAGAGAGAGAGATCAGTCAAAATATTATATCATGTTTGAATTTGTTATTCAACAAATTTTAAAAAAAGCCATATCATAAATAATAATAACAATAATGGCACCTTATCTATTCTAAATTTTAGAAATGGTTCCATTATTTCATTTTCTGTGGCCAGGTGTGGAAGCAAAACTTCCGATGTTCCTTAGACGCTTATTTATAGGAATACCTAGAGACAAAGGTTTCACTTCGCTTGTCTTTTAAAAATCAATTCATATCTCTGTTTTTTTTTAATTGAGTGTGTTTTAGAGGTATGTTAATCTAAAAAACTGATAAAAAAAGAAAAATAAACTGCTTAAAAATCACGGGGTCAATTAGACTAAACCCACAATTACTTTCAGTCTTGCAGGTTTAGTCGTTCAGAAAAGTGGCCAGAACAGTTTACATTTTGACCCAGACCTCATCACTGTAAGGTAAAGGTTTCGGGTTCAACTCAGCGTCCCTGCATTTGAACCTGTCATACTTACAAATTGGCTTTCTTCAAAAACAATGGCACCCTGAGGGTGACCTCTGCTGCTATGAACAATTGTAAAAAAAATAATAATAATTTAATTTTAAAATCTCCAAGAACTACTGTTATGGATTTGTTATCAGTTGTACAGTTCATACTACTGTAGTAGTATGAGTTGAGTCTATCACATCTCAGAGTCTATCACCAATTTGGCTTTTTGTAATATCTATTATTCCAATTATTTCTAAACATTTTAATTTAAAACCTTTCCCTTTGTTCCATCTTCCTAAAAGAACTTTACATGTCTTACGCTAACTCCACTCCGAGACCCCCACCAGTTATAATAGGAAAAATCGTAACAAGTGACAAATTGGTTTCCCATAACCCCTCCCTCCTACTTATTAACTTTTAATACAGAAGTTAATTTTCCTCTTGCCATATAGTTCTACTTCTATCCAGAGGTTGGTTATCACATTTTGTGTAACTGACAATAAATCACCAGCATGCGTCAACAATCACTCTCCTGATTTTGTAACTCCAGGGTCAAACCTCCATCTTATCTAGCCAGCCACCTTGGGCTATCAACAGCTAGCTCATTTCAACCCCCGACACAATAAGTTCCCAAATCATACTCTCAGTCACTCATAAATACATTTTTACTTCTTTACAAACCATTCACTCAGTTAGGGTGATGGAGTACTCGATATTCCTTCGTACACATATTACATAAGTACCCTGAGGGTCAATGGGGTACTCCATATTTTGCCACTGACCCTCTCACACTACCCATTCATACTAATAAATACATTCATTCACAATACAACCCAAAGAAACACAACACGAAATATTATAAAGTATTATACAGAGTAAAACAGTCGTTTCTTAAAAAAAATAAAAAAATAAAATCAGGTTGTATCCCTACACGCTCCTTATATGGAGCCAAGGAATGGCACCCATCAATTGCACAACAGATCAAGCAATCTTTCTCTACATGCCAGCTTTAACTGAAAAATAAGTGTCTGTGTGTCAACCTTGCATGGCCTATCCTTAATCGAGAAAGGATGATCCTTCTATGAGTCAGATCTTCCGAGGACCACCTATTAACATACATTGATACATGTATATACTTATAATAAGTAAGTATATACTGCCACACAGATGAAGCAGTCTTATTTTGCATACTCCCTTGGCCATCTACTATAGTTCAATGCTTTGCATACCTTAGAGTTCACAAACTATGATTGTGACACAACCTTGGCTACACAGTGACCGTATAGGTGCCTGTTATGCAAGGATAGAATAACGGTGGAGCACCTTTTCAATTGTAGAAGAAAATATTTTTTGGCATAACAGACCAGGTTGTAGTCTTGGGGCTGGCAGCAGGCACAAATCACTGTTTTGGTACATCAGGCCCATAGGTATTTTTAAACGTATACAGTGTTTATGTAGTGTCTGTGTTGTGTTTACATTAATTTAATGAAATGAATTTAATTTATTACTTTCTAAAGTCTTGGTTGAGATAAAAAATGCAGTGTCACGAGCGGGATTCGAACCCATGACCTTGGGCTCAATACGCTGCTGTCCGGACCACTTGAGCTATCATAATTTCGATCCTCTCGGACACCAACTTCCCATCTCAACCTACAACCGTTCGAATTTTCCCTCTTATTGCCATTTTTCAAATGTTGTGTAATCGGATTGGATTCTGAGCGACTTATGAAGTGCCTCAGGGAGCTGTTTCGTGAATTGATACTTCTTTTCCTTTTTAAATATTAATCCATTTACATTTTTGTAGACAATTGATCAAGTTACTTCTTTCAATAAATTAATTAGAATTAATTTGAAAAATGGCAACAAGGAGGGCAAATTCGAACGGTTGTACGTTGAGATGGAGAGTTGGTGTGAGAATGATGAGCACTGTTTCAACGCCTAAACGGTTGCGGCCACCAACGCCCCTTGCTGTTTCTATTAAGTTTATATTTTGTATTGCAAAGCGTTATGTACCAGATTTATTTTTTACTTTGAAATTGGCATGCTGGTTATGTTGCTTTGTACTAATATGTACATATTTCTTAGCACTCGTACATAAAATTTGTTATGTGAACTATTATGTAGGACTGTACTACTTGGGAATTTTCCCGTAATGTACTGATTATTAAAGAATAAATGGAGAGAGGTAGGAAGAGAGAAAAAGAGAGTTAAACGACAAGGAGAGAATATTTAACGGAGTGCTACCATACTTACATTAACCTTATAATTAAATTAATTAACTATAAAATAAATGATGTATTCATTTTTGAAATTATTTATTATAGTTTGATTGAACTTTGTAAAAGGTGGAACTAGTGATCAAAACAAGATGGCTTGAATCTTCATATACTTTTTTTAAGGCAGTTTAAGCATAATTTGCTGAAAGCGATAGACTGAGAGAAGTACGGTAAAGAATTAATAACTGGTTTAATTGTAATATAATTTTTCGAAAGGTAGGTTGACTGGAGAGTTGGTTCCGAGAGAATCGAAGTCACAATAGCTCAAATGGTAGAGCAGCGGCGTCCGAAGGTCATGGGTTCGAATCTGGCTCATGACACTGACTTTTTTAACCCAACCAAGACCTTAGAAAGAATAATTAATTGATTGAAAGAAGTAACTTGGTCAATTGACTACGAAAACATAAATGGATTAGTAATTTATTACTATAAAAAGGAAGGAGAAATATCGAGTATTCTCAGAGAGTGAATAGGACCAGATGTACATGTTTGTGGTGATGTATGAATAGTATGTATTATTATAATAAAACTTATACAACTGCATCGCGCCTCATTGTTGAACAACTATAGCTTTAAGTCCTATACACTTATACAAATTACTACAAATATGTACATCTCCTAAGCCAATCTGTCCCACCGACACTACCACTTTATTTTTATCATGTTTTTAATGCATTTTTATCATCAGTGGGCCGGATCGTGATGGTTGGGACATCCCAGCTTTGTCTGCCTTTTTATTACCCTTCAGACATATGTGTCCACAGTTGTGCCATGACGTAACAGTTCATAGTATCACAATTGTTGTAATAGCACGATTAGCCCAACTGTAAAAACAAATTGGTAAATTTTCAAAATTGAAATAAACAAATGAAAAAATAAAATAAAGCAATCTAACGATAAGCATTTATAATATAATTCCAGGCTTGAATAGGTTTGTTTTTTTAAATAAATCTACTTATGTAAATTCTTTATGAAAATTAAATATTTCAAAAACAAAACAGAGAATATTTATGTTACTAAAATGATAGAGATATGAATTATTTCTGTCAAATTGGTAAATTTTCAAAATTGACTTAAACAAATGAAAAAATAAAATAAAGCAATCTAACGATAAGCATTTATAATATAATTTCAGGCTTGAATAGGTTTGTTTTTTTAAATAAATAAAACTACTTATGTAAATTCTTTATGAAAATTAAATATTTCAAAAAACAAAACAGAGAATATTTATGTTACTAAAATGATAGAGATATGAATTATTTCTGTCTCGCTAATTATTATCACATTTAAAATATTATTTCAAAAAGTACATGGGAAATTCATTGATATATTAATGTAATTATCAATTATACTTAATGTAACAAAAATAATATTTTGTTTACATTCAGTTACATTACACCTCAATCATTGCAGGTTGTATTAATCTATATAAAATTAAATACAATAAAATGACTAGATTTAAATAAATTTCCTCTCTTCTAGCTTGAAAATACAGCAATTTTTGTTGAAAATTTTGTCAGTCTTGTCGTTAAGAGTAAAATATTATCACATAAATTTTGAAAAACTGGCAAATCAATTTTATAAATACTGTATTTTTCTCTACCAGCATTAAATGTAACGTTAAGAGTCTCTGTCCTTTCTCTTATTTGAAGTGGCATGGCCTGTCACCATGTTGCAAAGGAAGACTTTGTTGACTTTGCTCCTCTTGTTCGACTTCCAGACAGATGGGCCTTCCTTTTCCGCAATCTTTTTCAACTGTTCAGCCTCTTTGAGCAATTCTTCTGTGGCCAACCTGAGAAACATTTCACATTAAACAACCAGGAACAAAAATAAATGGGAAACACAATAGTAAAAACTTGGTGCAGTTCGTTTTGTAACGATGACACGATACCTCTCTAACTCCTGGTCATCCATCACTTTCTTCTTGTCTGACATCGTGTGACGGTCATTTGACCAAAAAATAAATTCTTCTTGAATTCAATGGAATTTCAATGTTTTCAAATTTGAAAATATTATCTTACTTTGTAACCTTTTAAGCCTTAACTTACTGAAACCCTAATCCTGGGATGCACAGAGAATCCTGGTGGAACTAGCTACTATCAACTCTATTGTATAAATACAAATTATTTATTTTATTTTAAAGATAAAAATACTTTAAATAATAATAATAATAATAGCAATACTAATAATATAAGAAAATATACCAAACAATAATGGCAATAATATATTCTTAAACATGAATACTTTATAATCAATCTAATGATGAAACAAACAAAGAAAAGCAGAATAAGAAAGAAGATAAAAGGAAATGAGGAAAAGAAAAGGAAAAGGGAAGAAAAGGTGAAAAGATTCATATTTTTAAAAATTCAGATGCCATGAGCCTCAAACAAGCCAGCGAGGAAGCTATACTTTCCGAGAATTACATATTCTTGCCCCTGCAATTCTAAAGGATAAGGCTAAAATTTTAAAGGACTGTTGAAGGCTTGGGATTAGCGTGTAGATAAAGAATGTGGAAGAAAAGTTGATTAGATATTTGTTAATTTTAAATATTGAAAAATTGACATTTAAAAACGTGTCAAACCTATGAAGTGTTTGACATGGATAATTGTGACCTGCATAAACTATTGGTAGCATAAACTATTAAGAAACACCATACAAACAATCTCAACATAAGAATTACTATTTCCTTCCTTCTGTTAATTTTGTCTGATTTATGGGATATTTACAAAAGGACTTCATTTGCATTTTATGTTATTTCAATCCTTACTTTTGACTTTGAAGCTTTGCACAGGGTTAATAACATAAAGGACTGTTTCTGGGGAGTGAAACAGCTAAAGCATTGAAGAAATTGGAGCCTCGAGTAGATCTATTTAATAATAGAGCAGCTAAAAATCGCAAAAGATCCTGTTGGCTCCACTCTCTAGCCCTTGGGCCAGTCTGCTGCCGGGTGCCGCAGGGCTCGGGCCCGGCGGCGTGTCTCGGTGGTGCCGCCGGCGCACTGTCTCAAGGCTTAAATGACCATTAGGGTCGCTGCCTTTTATTTAAAAAATAAAATAAAATAAAATAAAAAAATAATAGAGCTCACCTGGTCATGCCATGTAAGAATGGAGATAAAAATAAAGTCAAGATTTTTAACTTTACGGTAAAAATAAATAGAGGAGTCTTTGATAGGAGGGGGGGATAGGCAACCTGTATTTTTGAAAATTAATAATCATTGGGATTTGTTAGGATTCAAATGAATGCCATTATTACTTGACCATGATTGAGAGAATAAAGATAAGCAGAGAGATCAAATACGTTGCTTACAGAACATTGAAGCTGAATGGATGAGCATTTAGGAACTTGAAAAATAGTAAAGGTCCAAGAATTATTCCTTGGGGTACACCAACTGAAACTGAGAGAGAGAAAAAAGGAAATTTGAAACTTTAATTCTCTGAGTTCTGTTAAGCAGATAGGAGATAGGACTAGTAGCACTAGAAGAAAAACCAAAAAGGTGAGTAATGTTTCAAATAAGGAAATTATGATTTACAAAGCTGAATGAAGAAAAATCAAGTAGAATAGTACACTAATTATCATGCCTAGATGGGTATCATTTGAGATTTGAAGAATGGCGTCCCACAACTATGAAATTTTCAGAAGCCAGATGGATCGCTTCTTGGCCTTTTGGCTAAGATTAAAGTTTAGAAAAGTGGATATAAGAGTAAGGAGTTAATAAATAAGGATATTTATTTCAATAAAATCTTCTCAAATGATTTACATAATGATGGAAGAAAACTAACATAGTAGTAGTTATTGGTGGGTTTATGTTTCTTGGGTAAAAAGCTGCAAGGAGCCAGATATGGCTTAGGAGCGGCACTGAAGGCACAGACGATTTCTTGGGTAAAGCAACTATTGGAGCTTCCAGGCTGAAAGAAAACAATATAGGTGAGCGAGAAGTTCAGAATGTGGGTTATGTATTTTAAGGCAACAGTAAGGGAAAAAACCACCGAGTTTAATAGGAATAAGATCAGGACATGAAGCATTAGATTTAATAGAAACAATATCTTCTAAAATATTTTCATGGATTATTTGAAATACTAAAGGACGATTTTCGGTGATCTAGATGAACATGAAATGTAGTTTTAGTTGGGGGGAAGACATGGAAGCAAAAATATGCGTTTAATTCATAAACATCAGGGTGTGAATGAATTATAAGAAAATGTACTTCAGTATTTAAAAAAAAATCATGTATAAATATTAGTCTATATAAACCTTCACATCAACAGAGGACATGTTTCGCTGCCTCTTCTTCTTCCTCTTCTGCACAGGCCTGTTTCTGTCACTCCAAGTCTGTAGATAGACCGTTGTCTGCAGCATTCAGTTAGAAACCCTACTACTAATCTAGTCCTAATTTACCTACATTTAGTAGTTCTGTCATTAGTTTCTGTGATGATCCTTTGATGAACTTTTTTGTTGCAGTGCCCAAAACCTATATGAAAATTCTATTCTTTGGTTTATTTTTCCAAAAACCAGCTCATGACCCATATCCGGTTTCAAAACCATCAGTATCAGATATGGACAGCATTAACTGGGATTTCTTTTTCTTAGTCTGCTCTACCAGGTTTTTTAGGTCTAACATGACCACATTGACTAAATCTTTATGTGACCATTTCCTGTTTTCATAATTTCATTTAAATTGAAAAGTTGTTAGCTATTTCAAACCGGAAGATGAAAATCTCTCTTGATCAGCAGACAGAAATGGAAAATTGTACACTTCATACATATGGGAACAAAAAAGGAAAAGGCCATACTGGCAAGACTACACATAGGTCATACAACAATAGCATACGGGCACCTTCTAGCCAGAAAGCAACTGTGTAGGTGCCAGTTATGCAAAGAGAGACTAATGGTGGAGCACCTTTTCAATTGTAGAAGACAATATTTTTTGGCATAACATTAGACAGTTGTAGTCTTGGGGCTGGCAGCAGGCACAAATCACTGTTTCGGTACCTCAGGGCTATAGGTATTTTTAAATATTATCAATGTTTATGTTGTGTCTGCGTTTATGTTAATTTACTGAAATGAATGTAATTTATTAGTATAAAAATGAAGGAGGACTATTGAGTATTCTCAGGGAGTGAATGTGACCAGAAGTAGGCTTGTGGTGATGTATGAATGGTATGTTTTATTATAATAATAAAGTACAAACAAGAAGCTAGCATTTTAGGATATCGACTTAATTTTTATTTTTATTCATTTATCAAGATTGAGTTGCTCAAATTGCTTCAGGCTGAAAAATATATACATAAGACCAAAAGTAAAAACACACAGAGGGCCAGTGAGGACTTCAGCTGTTTGTCAGCCCCTAACTTCCCATATTAATTATTATAAGCTTCTTCCCCATCTGTCAAAATTACACCTTGAAAAATTGTGATTTATTTATTTTTTATTTACTTATTTATTTATTGAGGCCTGCAAGGTTATGAACTGTAGCTTGATCTTGTCTGATCATTTTTGTCTGCTCATTGCTGTTTAAGCATTTCACCATCTTCAGTGATGGAATTTTGGTTGATTTTTAATTTTCTTTATTTTCAAACAATTTTTTAAAATAATAATAAATAATATAAAAGTTGAATAATGCCAGAGGGATTAATTAAAGACCACCTATGATAGTATGCAAATTTCTAAAGGCCAGTGTAGTTATAAAGCTATCGAAGGACATGATTCACAATATAATACACAACCCCATTACTGAAAATGGTGAAATGCCAAACAATATTTATGTTTCTCTAAAATTAAATAAAAGACCAATCACCTCTGATTAAATTAATTTAACATTACAAACCATTTATTGTTCTCAGTACTTAGTACACAAATAAATTAACAAATTAATTTTAAGCATTTCAAATTTTTTTGAAGGAATTACATATTTACAAAAGATTGTGATAATATTAAAAATAAATTACTCCTATAAAATTATTTTCACAGCCTTTAATGCTAACAATATCTTTTATAATTTAAAAAAAATTTATATATATATGAATTCTCATAAAATGAATTCTAAGTAAATTAATGTATCTGTTAAAAATATTTATCTTGTGAGGTTAATTAATCAATTCAAAAATGTTATTATTCGAATTCCTCTGAATCTAGATTTAATTGTTTTAAATTTGTCATATTTTCTTCAACATCAAGGACTATGTTGTATTGTTGATCAAGCCCAAGGTAAGTATCCGACATGACGTACAATGTATAAACTGCAGTACCTAAAAATATTTTTTTTTTCATTACTATAAATGTTAAAACAAATGGAAATTAATTTATATTTACCTGATTGTTTTGGTGTATAAAAAGTCAATTGTGCTGTAGTCCTGCGATACGAAAATGTAACTCTTCTGAGAGCAAGCAGTTCGCCTTTTTCTATATCGCCTAGTGTCAATATCCAACCCTCCGTCTTTGGTTTATGGAATTTTGGCGTATATGCATACTTTTCGGTACTTTTATTAATCCTTTCTAGAGTAATGCTCAACGTGTACTCTGAGTCACAATGTACTTTCAGTGCTTCCTTGCTGACTCTTCTGATCTCGCTTTTTTCTTCCGAATTGCCGTTTAAGCTCAAACCAACATTTAAAATTGGCAATAATTTCAGTGTGTTATAAACCTTTAAAAAATAGTGTGTTAAGATTTGTTTTTCAAAGTGATCTTTTTATAAAACAAAAACTCAAACAGGAATTACCCTTTCAATCTGCCCTTCGTCCATTTCAGGCATGAACAACGGTGCTACATGGGCATATCCTTTGTTCGCAGCAATTACAGCCTGTGGCAGAATACTCAATTTAGGCTTGGCGTGCAAACTCGGTGCCATGTAAGGTTCTACGCCGGGAAGCGTTGTGAAAGGAGAGTCTGTGAGCCACCGACCTTGCATGATCATTTGCATTAAATGCTGCAACCTGAGCGAGAGGGCCAGCCATCCGCTTTCAGCACATACATCGAGCATTCCCTTAAGCAGTATAAAATTCAGCATTCTATTTTGATCTATTTATTTGTTTAAAATTAATTACCTGAAGGATACGGATAGCTTGATCCAAAACAGACTTCAAGTCGGTGTAATAATCAGTGCTTGGTAGTTCCAGTCTTGAAAAATGCGCTTGTAGTAGTAAATATGTTTTTATGTGAGGGGAGTCGAGCATTAACTCATCCACTTTCCAGGGGCAAAGTTTAGCCAAATCTCTGATACAAAAAACAAAAAACATTTAATTGAGAATTTATGATTTGGTCAATACTGATAATTTTAGTATGCGAATCCTCGCTTGTTTGGTCTGTCAGACGTGTTTTGACATTTCTTTTTGAAATTACCCAAACTAGTTTCAGTTCTGTGCCATCTTCAGTGAGGAACTCACTGTCTAGTTGTCTGTGTAGGGCTTTATATGCTGTTGAATGTACCAATTCACTACGGGTGTTTATAGTCAGGGGTATGGCCAAGGTGTTTGTTGGTCAACAGTGATGGCTATTTCCGTCAAGGGTTATTATTTGTGTGTTGTTAGTCTTAGTTGTTTCAATGTATTTATCTCTGAATGTGTGCCCTAGCGACAACCGATGGACACAAAGCCCTATAAATGACTCGGTATTAAGGGGAAGGGTAGCCAGCACCAATTACGACCCGGCGTTGAGGATCAAAAAATTACCTAGTCGCCAAACAAGTAGCTGAGTATGGGGACTGCATGACATTAAATTAATCAACATGATGCCAAATGCATTTTGGACAAACAATGGTTTGAGGACGGTTGTATCTAGTACAAAAAAGGGATGGCAAGAAAAATCTATACATATCTTTTCCCTGGCTTAAACGTAAACCTATTCTCCGTGAAAAAAAGGCAACTTTTTTTTTAACAATATCTTGAAACTGAACGAATCAGTACATCCATGAACATATTCATACAGAATAAACTTAAGGGCTTCTGCAAAATGCGCAACATGGGATGAGCCAGAGCACATTAAACACATTATCTTTAATTGCCTGTAGTACAAAGAAATTAGAAAAACCCTATTTGATAGTGTGTTGGAGCGAGGGAGAAGCCACTCAACTAGAAGAATCTGCTTGTGTTGGAAGAGAAGATATGTACAAATTGATTTAGGACTGTTTGTAAGAGTGTGACATTAGAATTTAATTAATTAAGGTTTTAAGTTGAGATAAAAAAGTCAGTGTCTCGAGCGGGATTCGAACCCATGACTTTTGGCTTGATATGCCACTACTCTACCACTTGAGCTATCGTGACTTCGATCCACTCGGACACTAACTTCCCATCTCAATCTCACCTTTGGAATTTTCCCTCCTTTTTGCCATTTTTCAAATGTCGTGTAATCTATTTGATTCTCAGCGACAAGTGAAATGGCCACAGAGAGCTTTGTGAAGTATACTTCACTTTATAATTCATTAAGTTCACTATTTTTCGTGGTCCACTTGACCAATTAATATCATACAATTAATTAAGGTCTTAAGTTGAGATAAAAAAGTCAGTGTCACGAGCGGGATTCGAACCCACGGCCTTCAGCTTGATGCACCGCTACATTACCACTTGAGCTATCGTGACTTCGATCCCCTCGGGCACCAACTTCCCATCTCAACCGCACTTTTTGAATTTTCCCTCCTTTTTGCCATTTTTCAATTCATTCTGGCCTTTTTATCTCAACTTAAAACCTTAATTAATTGAACGATATTAATTGGTCAAGTAGACCACGAAAAATAGTGAAATCAGAATTTAAGTTGAGTAGCTATGTCTTTTTTAAATTCAAGTCCTTCGGGTGGGTCCAGGGGTTTGCTTGGTAGGTCTGTGGCTGTGTTCAGGGTTGGGGCTTGGGCAGTTGAACCCCGGGATGTGAACTTTTCCATGGTTATATTATTAAGCTTTTTAAATGTTTTTTAATCGCATCCTCTTAATACACCTGTAAAAAAAAATGGAAATAGTGCAGTGATTTGACTAGCCCTCAGCCTCCTCGCATCACAACGGCAAACTTGTTGATTTTTCCTTGTTAATTTTTAACCATTTATCTGTTTATTTATTTAAGGTTTCAATGTCAGTTATTTATCAATTAACAGGGGTCAGTGGCCACAACGGTTAAGGCAATGTTTCCCAACATGGGGCCAATTTGAGTTTTAAGGGGGACAATTTTGAAAATAACTCATTTAGATTTTTAGTCAACTATGTGTTGATTTTCATTCATAATTTTGTTGAAAAATCATCGAGTACAGTAGCTTCTGTTCACGATGAAATAGCTGAATTTATTTGTCGGACCTTGAGTTATTTCGATCCTCAACATTTCATGCTATTTTTCAATATTCCATAATAATTGCTGTCAGCATCTTAGTCTCACGGCGTTTCAAGTAAGGCGTATCGTCATTGCTACAGTAATTAAAATTATTGTTTGTTAAAGTCTTTCTAAAGTCTCGCTTTTTCATAATTCAGTATATTTTATTAAAGTGGCAAATAAATGATAGGTATATTAAATTGTCAAGTTAAATTAATTTAGTTTTTAAAGGTCCTAATTCTAGAAGAATGTTTTTTTAAAGTTATTTTTAATCTTTGGGTCAAGCATAAATATGCAGATAGATATGAGCTATTCGAGTTTTTATGAAAAGGGAAAAAACTTACCCATTAAGAATTTCTTCATTGTGCCTGACAGGTAGCTCGCTGTACTCATATACGTGACACATCGTATATAAACATTTCTCAAGGCTTAGAGATGGTTCTAGATTGTCATGGAGCTGGAGCATTGTCTGATAAGACAGATAATAATATGCAGCAATTCTCCCCATTGATGTTGAACTGACTGTCCTTTCATCCTAAAAGAAAAAAAAATTATATTTAAAACAACAAACATATTAAAATTGTATGTAACATATACAACAATTAATAATAAATTAAGAGTACCTCATGCAATGTAACACATCCAGCATAAAACAGTGTTAGAAGAGTTTTATCAACAAGTTTTGATAAATAGCTATTGACGTCTGTTTCATCTAAGGCCTCGAGGCCGTAATAAGTTGGATTTTTAAGCAGTCGTCTAAAGAAATAAGTCCAAGTCAGATAATCCAAGGCTTCTTGTTTTGTTTTTATTGTCCCGGCCACGATTTCTGCACTTAAATGGTCTGGTAACACTTTAAGCAGGCTGGATTCGACCGGGAAAGGCTCGTAGAGAAAACGCTTGTAAAAGTTCTTCTTAACATCGTGGACGAAGATAACGGCGATTCCCTGGTTGTCAAACTGAGGCCGGCCAGCCCTTCCCATCATTTGAAGAACATCAGTTATAGGCATGTCTAAATATCTTTTGGTCTTTGCATCATAATATTCAGTTCCTTTCACGACGACTAAATGCGCCGGTAAGTTCACACCCCAAGCCAAGGTGGATGTTGCAATCAAAACCTAAAATAAATAAAAGTTTATATAATGCTTTAATCAATAATATTCTCAAAATACCTGTATCTTTTGATTGACAAAAAGCTCTTCTACTACTTTCCTATCGTGGTGTTGAAGACCGGCATGGTGAAGACCAATGCCAAAAGCTAAAGTTAATCTCAAATTTGAATCCTTCACAGTCTTTATTATTTGATCCATTGCCTTGAAAAAGAAACACAAAGCAATTAAAAAAGTCAATGCTTTATAATTAAAAAGATTTAAATAATACATCTTCATAACAGTGCAGCCATTGCTTTGGGTTACTATCAGCTGCTAAAGATGCTATTAGGTCTAAGGCAGTTAATCTCGTCTGTCTTCTCGAAGATACAAAAATTAAAGTAGGCTGGCATGGCGAGTGGTTGCTTATCGCTTGGAATATTGGCCTGTTCATTGTAGCCATTCTTGGACAATAATGCTTCCCTGGAAATCCATGGATGTGCACCTCTAGCGGTACAGGACGTACAGATGGTCTGAAGTTGTACAAACCCATCTGAAAGATTACAAATTTAATTTGAAAAAAATCTAAAACAACATTTTCAAATTTACTTCTCCTATTCCGAGCCAGTTTGCGAGGTCGCGAGCATTAGCGATTGCGGTTGAAAGGGCGACGATCCTCAACGGACGTTCTGTATGGGCGGAAATGAAGTTTGTACGGGAAACGATGACTTCAAGCACAGGGCCTCTGTCTTCGCCAAGAAGGTGAACCTCGTCGAGGACAATCAAAGCGACACTTTGAACATAACTACGAGTCTGCCAGCTACGAGATATACCATCCCATTTTTCAGGCGTTGTAACAATTATATCAGAGTTTGTTATGGCTTGAATATCGGGTGAAACATCACCTAATAAATAATTATACTTTGTAGTTAGATTATTTATTTGCTGCTTTTGAAAAAACGCATTATAAACATTTTTGCATAAATTTTTGTTAGTATGAGGTTATAAATTGATTGGTAAAACTAAATTACCAATAATTAATAGTATATTAATATCAATAATTTCATTTTTATGAGGTCAATTTTTTGGGGGGTAGCACACATTGTATTAAAAGTTTTTTTTTTTTTTTTTTTTTTTTTTTTTTTTTTTTTTTTTTTTTTTTTTTTTTTTTTTTAAAGCCCATTTGTAAATTATGTCGGGTTCAATTGTAGGACTGCTGGATTCGAATGTGGGACTTTTCCCTTACAGTGATGAGTGCCTGTCAACGCCTAAACTGTTGTGGCCCAATGCCCCCATGAACACTGTTAAATTAAATAATAATATTACCTGTTAATTCAACAACACTTCGGTTCAACTTTTCCTCAAATCTTAATTTCCAATCTTCAATCCTTTCCCTAACCAGGGCTTTAAGAGGTGCAACATAAACAACCTTTAACAAAACCATAAACATAATTAAACTATTATTATTACTCCTTTTAAAATTATTTATAAAATTTACAAAATATTACCTTGCAATTTGGATATTTGGTAAACACTCTCAACATAGCAATTTCAGCCATAATAGTTTTTCCTGAACCAGTCGGCGCTCCGAGCAAGACATTGTTGTCAGTGTGATAAAGACAGTGGAAAAGTTGAGTTTGAATTGGATTAAAATGAGAAAATTTATAAATAGTTTGGTACTCCGGGTTGTTTAATGCAGTGACGGGCAACGGTTGGAGATCAAGAAGTTCTGAAATTTAAACACACATTAAACATTTTTTTTCTTTTTTCCTTTTTTTTCAAGCTACAAACAAGCACCTGTGTGCGGAGGATGGCTCTCTGGTAATATTATATTTTGAACATTTATCGGCAGAACGGTCGAACATCCGAGCCAGCGATCGCTCGTCACCTTGATGATATACTGTGAAGGCAAAGGCTCTACGAGAGGCATTGTCATAACAAGTTCTTGCGGTTCTTTATTGATAACCTGAAACAATATTTGTTAAATGACTAAACCTAAAAAATGTTCAATATGTCAAAGTACTGACTTGTTTCATAGTGAGTAAAAAATATTCTGAATGGCAGATTGTAGTCGCCTTCGGATCTTCTATCCATATCCAATATGTTTCTGATGTCTTTCCATGAACTTTGACATTCCAGCTAAAAGGAAATGATTTTCAAAATAAAATAAAAAAGTATAAAGCTTAAGTTTATAATTACGTAAAATCAGGAGTTATTGTTAATTTGACGCGCAACACCGTCCTCGTAATGGGATGAAGACTTGCTGAAAGCTCAACGAGTGGAAGTTCAAATGCGCATTTTTTCACAGTAGCACCTACCTTTGTATTTCTCACCCAAAACCCTACAGAAAAATACCATTCGTGTAACAACGAAATCTGTTAAAAGTGAGACAAAAATTTTAAATAACCTATTTCTTTTGAGTCCATTTCTCGGATCGACAATATAGAAAGGTCCCTCTCTTCAAGTTTAGTAATAATATCAAAATTCAGTATAGAAAACTGCCTTAAAGGAGTTTCCCAATTCCACTGTTGATGTTCCAACATCAGGGCCATTTGAAGAAATTTTCCAGCCAATATTGCATTATTCGATCTCAACGATATTTCAAAAAGCGCTCTCATGATTCGAACGGCATTCTGTATTTTAAAAGAATAATTTATTATTTGGATTTTAAACATAATATACTGTAAATACCTGAGATATATAGCTGAGGTCAGAAACAAGAGAAAACGAATTTATTCTTTTTCTGCTTAAATAAGCCTGCATTAGAATATTAACCTTGCCATGTAAATTCTCTTTACCTCCTGCTACGTCATATTCACAATTGTTAGAAAGAATTTCATCAAGCTCTCCCATTTCGTCTTCTCTGACCTTAAAAAAAAAGAGAAAATCAAGTCCGGCTTCTCACCATATTCAGTGTTGAGTTTGTTCATTACTTAAAAGATACCAAGTGAAAATCTCACTACTCATAATTCAAATTACCGTTTCAACTTAATAAAAAAAAACTGATTACTGGTGTATGTAAGCACAAATCTGCATTTTGTTTATAATTACCTTCAGTTGTTGGAATTCTTGAGAATGTGAGACCATTGTCAATATTTCAGACTCATTCATCACTTCTGTCATCATTTCATTAAACACCTCCACAGTGTTGTATTTGATATAAAAGTGGCTAGCAGTACGTCCAAGATCTATAAAACATACAATTCAATTTTTTTTTTCCTGATTCATATGATACCTGATAAATACCTGTTATAGCTAAAGATCCCGTCCTACTGTTGTACCTGATCATTTTCGCTTTGTCCAATGCTTTAGCAGCACTGTCTATCAATTCTCTCCTCTTAGTCAATAACGTCGGTTCTTCCTGTTTGTATTTAATTATAATTTACTCTTTTCAAAACTATATTATGTAATTAATTACTCACAATTACATCCTGATAATTTATTCCATAAACTTGGGGGTTTATTCGCATCCTCACGAAAAGATACGTGTAGCTCAACCACTCCACAGCTTCATCGACATTACTTATAGTGCCTAACGATATCTAAAATATTGCTTTATTTAAAAATTGTTCAAAAGGTTTCATTAGACGTTAATTACCTCGGCATTTAAATTGTCTGCGAGGAAATTTATAAAACTACTTTCGATAGGAAATTGATTTGTCAACAGTGAAAGATAATGTGATAATTTATTGTGACTCGTTATAATAGTTCCATGGCCGGAAGTGTCAAACTGGGGCCTCCCGGCTCGACCAAAAATCTGAAGTACATCCAAAATCCCTAAATCTATGAAAGATCCATGTTTTGCATCGTATATTTCAGTTCCCTAAAATCACATTTAGAAAGTAGAAGAATGTATGTTTTTCTGACTAACTTGGACTTACCCTGATAATAACGGCATGAGCAGGAAGATTAACACCCCAGGCTAAAGTCGAAGTACAAACCAAAACTTTAATGACACCATTGGAAAATGTCTTTTCTATCAAATTTCTGGACAAAATCGGGATGTTACATTTCTACGCTTGTTTAAATAACAAATAATAAAAATACCTGTCAATTCGAAGAAGGCCTGCATGGTGAACAGAAAAACCATTGCATAAAAGTTGGCCTAGTTCTTTTATTCTGTCTTTACTGAAAGATTTTAGAGCTGCGCTAAAAGCAGAAGACTCTTCTGGCTGGAAGAGACCCAACTGATATTTTTGCCGTGCAAGCTCCACTAAAACATTAGCCACTCTTACAGTCGCATTTCTTGCATGAACAAACACCATAACCTGCATATTAAACAAAAAATTAATGTGAAACCGATAATAAACAACCATTATAAATATAATCACCTGATGTCCTCTTTGAACCATTTCAACAACTTTATCATAGCATACGTTGTCCATGTCAGCCATTTGTTGAAGAGGTTTTATAGCTTTCACTCCTATAAATGTCTGTTCCAAAGGCACTGGCCTGAACCGTCCGTCGAAATAAAACAGACCAACTTGAGGATTGACGTGGAGGAAACGAGCGACATCTAAATAATTTGGTAATGTTGCAGAAAGGCCGACAATCCGAATCATACTCTGGGACGTTTCCACCTAATACAAAAATAAGACGGTTACTTATTTTTATGAATTAATGAAAAATCAACTTTACTCTGGGTCTTGTCTACTTGAATGGACATACAAAACATGAATACAATATATTTACAAAGATTTGAGCCTTATAAGGTTATACAAAAATGTAAATTAAATTAAAGGACATATTAAAAATTTTCAGTGCCGAAGAGGTAATCAAATAAACAGAATTTAAAGGAGGAAAGGGATGGGACTTGTTGGACAGAGTGAGGAAGGAACGATTGAATGTAGTAGTTCTGTGTTTTGGGATGTCAGAAGAATGGAAGCAAGTTTGACAGGAGTGTACACAGGATCTGAAGAAGCGAAAGGTATAGGAAGACATCATTAGATAGAGGAAGTTGCCGAGGAAGTATGCTTTCAGTAGGAAGGGTGTAACCACTTCAGTCCATCTACAGATTTCAGTCAGACCAGACCTCCTTGGAATCCAAAAATATTGCAAAAACATGCAAAACAATTCATTTGACGTTTATCTTAAGTTTATCTTCAAGCCCCCCAGTGATTCCCTCGTGCACAACATCCATAATCAAAGTGGGAAAGAATAAGGAAGGATTTTACACGTATAAAAAGTGGCTAGCACAATGAAACTGAGGGTCAGCAGAGAAGCAGTATCGGGAAATCTGGGAGATATGGGGCTTCCAGAACATGGACTGAACTAGAACAATCCCAAGGTTCTTGACAGAGAGAAAAAAAATAGGGGGTGATTGTTAATTGTAAATTGAAGGATTGGAGGTAAGAAACGGAGGAGTGAACTCAATAGCCTAGGACTTATATATGTTCAACTTTTTGCCCATTTTTTATCCCCAGGAGTTAATTAAGATTAAGTCCTCCTGAATTCTTACAATTGCAGCTTGTAATTTATTAGGTGAGTTAAAAGGTAAATGTAAAATTCATCTGTATTATAAACGTAGGGTTCAACAGACATCATCAAAAGCATGAATATCGCACTTAACAGTATGTTATTTACGGGAGGAATCTAAAAATATGCAGCCTGCATTTTAAAGCCAACTCTTTTTTTTTCTTCTTCTGTGAATTATTTTTTGTATGATATCTCCTCCCTTGAGGTTTGGTGGGTGATGAACCTATAGCCTTTTACAATAATTTTCTTCTATCCTAGATGTTTTGATGTACTTCTGTTTCTCCAACAGCTAGTGCCTCTCCCTACTTATATCCCAAGCAAACTAGTTGGCAATCAGACTGAGCGCTTAAGATGGTGAGAAACCGAAACAAGTTTGGCAGACCAAAGAAGCACATTTTGATTAGTAAAATGAAAGGAAACCAAACTAAAACTCTGTATGCTATTCCTATACAAAAGCATCTACCGAAAGCTACTCACAGTAGTTTGGTTCTCACATTTTGGTCTATCAGACACGTTTTGGCTTCTTGCTATCTTCAGTGGCAAGTTAAGAGATGGCAAAAATGGTATTTAATGACTGTTAATTAATGATTATTTGGAAATCATGAGATGCGGTTTGGTGTGATGTAGGTTTAGAAAAACATTTTCTTTATTGCGCCAACGTTTTGATCTTTTTTGAGATCACCTTTAGGGCCTGGGATTTATAAACATTGTTTAAATTATACAAATACATGTAAGATGTGTAGATGCCATTACTGTGTATCATGTTAAGAGTGCCAGTGAGATAGTAATGTTTTTTGTTTATATACGTTGGATTTTGAAGGAGTGGGGAAGGAAGTAGGGATAGTTGGCAAAAAGATGAAATGTTTCGTGAAAGATTAAAAGACTGAGTATAATAAAACCAAAACGATCAGAAATGGACAAAATATGTTTCAAATTTAATTCTTATGCACACCAGAGGGCCTAACGTCAAACTACCTACCATGTATATTCGTTTGAAATCAAAATCACTACCACAACGGGAAGGCTGATGCCTAACATATTCAACCATCTTGGTCTCAAACTAACTATGAATTAAAGTACTAATTTAAAATAATAATACCTGGCGAAGTGTACGAGCAACAAGAGCTTCAATAACAGGGCCTCTATCACCATGCAGCAAATGAACTTCATCAATTATCAACAATTTCACCAGTTTTGAAAGAGCAACATCACCTAAATAATAAAATTATAAAAGATTACATAGTACAAAATTTAAGAGATTGTAATTTACCTGTTGACTTTCTCGTGACAACGTCCCATTTTTCAGGTGTCGTCACAAGCATTTGCGTTTGTAGGATTTCTGTCTTTGTAAGTTGCATGTCTCCAGTTAGTTCCTTAACCGTTATTCCTAAGCAGTTGAGCCTTTTATTAAAGTTAGCCGTCATTTCAGCGGCAAGGGCTTTCATCGGTGCAACATAAACTATCTATGAAACACATACAAATATAAAATCAAAAACATTTACAACAAATGAAGCAAAAAAATCTGTTAATACCTTGAAATGTTCTTTTTTTATAATACCATTATCTATATGTTCACGTATCGTATGCATCACAGTTAAAAGAGCAATGTTGGTTTTCCCAGCTCCTGTCGGGGCACAAATCAATAAATTTTCATTTGTGTTGTATGCTGTTTCGAAAACTACAGACTGAATCCTATTAAGGGATTTCATTCCGGAAAAAGCCAACTTTCCATACTAAAAACGTATGCATTAGACATTTTCTAAAGTTAATAATAATTTAATTTTACCTCATCCAGTGAATCGATCGGTATTAAATTATTTCCAACATTCAGAGGCGTTGGAGGCGGGATTGGAATGTTTACTTCTTCGTATTGTTTATTGTCTACTCTACATACATTTTCAGGCAGCATCATTTTTACTCCTGTTATAAAACCTGCACATCAAAAAGTTTTGAGACGGTAATTCAGAATTCAAATTAATAAATCCTATAAAAATACTTACCTGTTTGCTTTTGCGCATCTTTGATAGCATCATACACATGAGGATATGTTTCTTTAGGTGTAGAAAATATTTTTTTCAGTTCAGACTCTTTTTTAACATCTTCATTATTTCTGGACACAAAATTACATGAGTTCTAGGTCAAACGGGTTTTAATTAAAAACAAACCTTTTTCTATGTAACATGTAAATATCCGAATCGTCGTCTTTCGTAAATTTGGACATATTTTTTAATGGTTTATCCTCTCTCCTTTGGAGTTTTTGTTGAGAACTAACTAGATCCTGCTCTTTCTCATTGTCTGAAGCAAAAATAAATCAAATCATATTAATGTTATACAGAGTGAGATTAACTTCTGTTCTAGCTATATTTTTTTACTTTTGTTGGGGAGTTTTTATGAAAAACCCTTTGACATGTAAATTTTTATTTTTAGACTAGTTTCTCATGAACCAAAAAGATTTGATTTAATTCTCCAGGATAAATGGATATGGATAGGAACTAAATTATATCAAATTGTACATTTTTTAAAGGTTTTTTGGTGCCGAATTCAACAGTGTAGTTTTTGATTAGGAGCAACTGTTCTGATGCCATTTGCAAAACCTTTCATTGTTTTTCAGATTAAAAAAATCTTCTTCAACCAATCACCAATTTATTTATTTATCATTTTAATTGATAGTCAACTGATTGATAATAGTATTAACAGGACGCTCTGGAAGTAGCTCGTTAAAGTGTGATTGAGCCTGGTGCAAATTTCAGTCCACTTTTCCAAACAGTAGAATCATCTCAACTTTTTCTTGTAATTTACGAGACATTTTTATGATTTGTGCAGTAAATCGAAGAACATAAAAACTCAACTTTAGTATGATAGTTTTTATGGTAAATGTTACAAGTTTTCAGCTAGCAACATTTGCAGATGACCATAATATATGCCAAAGATGATAATATAGAAGCAGCTAAGGACAATGCAAAATACGTTCATATAACAAAGGAAAACCACCTGAAATGCATTTAAATTTGAAGCAAAAATTTTTCCCTGCATTTCATTAGGATCCCCCCCCCCCGGTGTTGATCATCAATAATCAAACCATCCCATGGAACAAAAAAAAAACAATAAAAAAGACACTGTACAATATCTTGGCATCCATTTGGATGAGACTTATCTAGGACAAACATATAAAGAAAAAAGAATCTAAATGCTAGAGCACTAAAACTCTACATATTGCTAGATAGAGCAAGCTGGGGGGAAAAGAAAAAAAAAAAAGAAAAAACCCTGCACATTTATATTCCAGGTGATAATATATCCCTCTATCTTAAATGGAAGTGAGGTATGGGCAGCTGCTCACTGCCCAAAATGCTAAGAAAGGCGGTAGATGCCCCATAGTATGTGAGAAACTCTCAACTTCATTGAGAATTAAATTTCCCTATCATCAAAGAATTTATTATGACCAAATTCAAAAAGTTCCACGCTAATCTAGGTCACGTACACGCCGCTGTTCCTAAACTTGGGACAAAAGGTGAAGGACAAGCTGAAAGGGGGTTTATTTAGTTTTGCTTGTCCAAGTTTAATTTCGTTGTTTTAACACCAGGTTGAATCGCACTTTAATGAGCTACATCCATAAAAATTTTGGAACAAATTTCTCAAATAACATATTAAAATAACAATCGATGTTATTTGAGGAAATCGTTAAATTTTTAACTATAAATATATAAATTCGTGATTGGTTGAAGAAAGTTGAGAAGATTTCATTTATTCAAAAAATAGTGTTCCAAAAAAAAATTTATTTGCTAATAACTTGAAACGAAGAACAGCTGCTCCAAATTAAAAACCATTTTCAATATTTAATTCAGCGTCAAAAATCCTTTTGAAAAATCTACATTAACAATACCTTGTCATTTGAAATACAGTAATCGCTTAACAGTCGCGGTTTTCCCTATTCACATGAATTGTTGTTTTATTTTTTATTTTATTTTATTCTCTTGTTGATGTGTCGCAAAATGCCTCCTCTTCCAAAACAGAAAAAAAAGTCCTGATCCTTGGTGAAAGAATAAAAATTTTGGACATTTTTTTATGCAGGCCAAAGCTTTTCTTCAAAACAGCTCAGGGAAATTTTAACCTTGAGGGACCAACTTATTAAAAAAGCAATGGATTTTGACCCATCTTAAAATCAATGTTTTAAGTTTAAAATGGATATCAAGGCCACTTTGAATCCTTATGTGGAAATTTTTAAAGATTCTGTCAAACAGCAAACAAGTAATAGTTATTTCTTTTCTTGCACATCAAAAAATACAAACAATGGAAACAATTAACATGTTCAAGCACTTGAACATTACGTTTATTCTGAATAATCTGGTTTGTACCTCAATTTATGGAATGTAACCCTCCTTATAGCACACAAAAATAGACTCAACATTCGCAGATTTAACATTCACGGCAGTTTTCTAGAACCAAATACCCGCAAATGTTAATGGATTACTATATTTAAGTTCTTATCTGTATCCCACTGTTTTGCAGAATTAGAACAAAACTTTTTGGTTCATAAGAAACTAGATGAAAAATAAAAGAATAAAAGTTGTAAGTTTGTCTCGGGGTTTTCCCAAAAATTCCCACAAAAAAGAAATGTAGAGGAGAACAAAAGTTAAACCCACTCTGTATATCGCTAAATAACACACTTACTGCAAGGTTTCAGAACTAATTTTTTCCCTTTATCTAATTTCAAACTCAAAGCAATGGAGTGTCGTTTTTCTATCATAGACTGGATAAGCTCAATATCTCCATATCCCAAAAAATCAAATAACTGAAATGTAAAAAAAAAATCCTTTTGTAAAGCTTTTTCTAAAACCTTTTTTATTGCAAACAGTGATATGGAGCTCACCTCGTTCTGGAGTTCATCAGAACTTTTTGATGATAATATGGATTGCGAAATTGATTCGTATATATCATCAATAGACAATCCAGAAAAATTATCCTCATTATAACACTTTTGAATTTCTTTATATAACCACTGTTTATCATACTGAAATAAATTTTTTTAAGTGATTATGTTTTATACTTATCATGTATTATAAATAATGAGAATTATATATTAAATTTTTATTTTAATAAATAAAACCTAGAAAGTTTAAAATGTTATTGAATAGCAAGAAAAGAATCACCATTTCTTTCTTTGGTTCTTCCCTAAGTTGTTGTTCTGCTATGTTTCCAGTGTAAGCCATCGAAAACGTGTCCAAAATAGTGTTTGAACTCGGCTTTTGGTTCAAATCTGTTAAAAAGGTAGTGTCTGGCGGGATCCAGGGGTTTATCCAGTTCTTGAAGTCTTCCTTCATTAGATTTCCGTTTATTTGCTCTTCTGAGTTTAACAAAATCTTTTGAAGGGCCATTTTGCATTCATCACTCAGTTCGGCCAATATTTCATTTACTACCTTTAACAACAAAAAACAAACGAGATATACATTATCTTTTCACACAACAAAAATAAAGGTAAATAATGAAACTCACTTTAGCTATTTTGTAAACCTGATCTTGATCAACAAAGCCATACATTTGATTTAGTGTTGTACATTGTTTTTTCAAGGTCTGGTTGCCATTAACCATAAACAGCTTGAATATAAAGATAGAACTTTCCTTGACGAGATCTAAATCATCTAAACATAAAGAAATATCAACTGAATTAATATAGCTGTGGTTAACTTTAATTTAATAAAACTATTAAATGGTATCAATTATAAAATAGTTATATTGGAAAAAACATGATACTAAAATTACATACAACATTGATATGAAATGGTTAATATAAAACAACAAAAAAATGGATGGGTGGTAGATCTCCACTCTAACAAACTCTTAAATTAATTATGTTAAAGATTTTGTACATAGCAGACAGGGCTTGGTCTAGGGTCTCCTTAAAATTTAGATAGCATCAACCGGTTTTTGTCACCCTACATTTGAGGACCATTACCAATGGGACCAAGGAGCTTGGAGTTATAAATAACTGTGGAGTGTTGCACACGGATTAAGCACATGGCCACCAGTTACTTGCAAGAAAGTTCTTGTTTTTGGGATCATGTCAAAGAGGAGGATAAGGAAACCAAATCACTTGGTCTAGTGTCTAGATCAAACACGAATGAGGCCTGAAGAGACAACTCAAGTTGGGGCTGGACACAAAGAAGCATGAAGAGTCGACTCAAGTCAAGATGGAATACAAAGGAGGCATGAAGAGTGACTCTAGTTGAGGCAGGTAACAAAGGAGGCCAGAAGAGTTGTGGTGAGATACAAAGAGGCTATGAGAGTCAAATTGAATCAAGATAGGACAAAAATAGGCCGGAAGAATTGACTAGACGAAGTGTGTCACATAAGAGGCAAGAAGAGCCTTGAATTGGGTCAAGGTAGGACATGAAAGAGGCCAGGAGAGTGAACTTGAATTGAGAAGGGACATAAATGAGGCTGGGAAGGTTCTGAGTCAAGGGGGATATGAAAAAAGCCAGGAGAGTAGAGTCAGTTGAGGTGGATGACAAAAGAGTCCAGAAGAGTTGACTTGAGTCAAGGTGAGACACAAAGGAGGCAATAAAAGTCAAATTGAAACAGAAGGCCAGAAGGGCCCTAATGGAGTCAAGGTGGCTCAAAAATTAATTTAGGAGAATTGACTTAGTGAACTGATTTTCCAGGTGAACTTTCACAAAATACACTTACCCCTGGATAATACAATGGAGACCAGGAGAGATGACGAGTTGAGGCAGGACACAAACAAGGCAAGGAGAGTCAACTCGAGTCAAAGCGAGGCACAAAGGTGGCAAGGAAAAAAGCACAGAAGAGACAAGTTGACTGATGAGGCCAACCGTCTCTCCTGAAGGGCTGACATGTATTTTAACTACATAATTTTACCAATGTAATTATGATGAGAAGGAACCAGTGGACAAGAAATAAATGTAAATCAATCTTATCTCTCTGATTTTTATACTGTGTGAACCAAATCTTCCTTCCGCACAAAAAGAAAACAAGCACATGTTCTTAACGTCCACATCTCACTTAATGAAAAGGCTACAGAACCTGCACTGGTTACAGTAGTGATTGACATTTAAAAAATACATAAAACATTGACATGAAATAGTTAATGTAAAATAATGAACTGATGAAGAAGTGCAATTTTAGCAGGCTCTTGTGTTTGGCTCATTTTTTCCAGGTTTTGTTTGTTTCAAGCATTTTACATTAGTAAGAAATGAACACATTAGCGAGAGTCCACTGTATGTCCGAATCTCTAGGTTCAGAACATACCACAGGATAACAGATACAAGTTAACAAATATTGTTTTGATTTGTAAATTGTATTACAAGTAAATACAACTACAGCTCACTGCAACCCAATATTGTTTGACATAATGTGACATTTAAAGAGTGCATTCGATGTCAAATCCATGTAAGCATGTTTTCAGATCTTATAATTGTTTGACTTTAACAAGCATGCTGGATGTGCCAGAGATAGGCCCTCAATCATAAACAAAGCGATAAGTACAAAATTAAAGCAACGTTTTCTGTCTAGCTGTCGTTACATGCAGGAGATACCATATGGTGATCCGTCCCACTTACTGCAAATGCCCAGCGTCAACCTTCTGAGTAGAACCAGGTTGTCGCTCACACTCTGCTTGTTGCATCCGTAACTTTCGATCGTTTTGTACAGCAAAGGCCACTGGCTCTGCGGAGGCCTGGAAGTGAACGCGACGAGTTAGATTGTAGCTTTAAAAAAGTGGGAAAATACTGACGTTTTGTCTTCATAACTGTTCCTGTTTATAGGATAGACCGGTTCGTTCTCGATGAAATGTTTCCTGGGCTCTAAATTGGTGAATGATCTCAAATAGCGAGTCAGCCTGGGCAACTGGACGTCCATATTCTTGAAAAAGTGGATTTCCACCCTTCACAACTAAATATCAATGTAAAATACAAACTAAAACAAAATTAATTAGAAAATTAAAACGGCTAATTCTACAAGACTCATGTGTCACTTGACAGAATAACCGCCGAAAAACCTACCCATTAACATGTCCATTTCTTGCATTCCCTATCGATGCATTCCTGATTCCCTCTTCCTTTAAATTAAAATTTCACTTTTATTTTTATTTTTATTCACTTAATAAACAGGGAAAGCCTAATTCCAAAAATATAAATGATATATATGCAAACATCTATTTTAATATAATTTATAAAATAAAACAGTTTTAAAAATAATAAACATTATAAACTTGATACACTTATGGATTGATTGAAAGCCAAACAAACATCAAATATGAGAAGGATAAATAATTAATTATATTAATTTAACATTATTGAGAATTAAGATGAAAAAGATCAGAAGAAGGTCCAGACCTCTTTTACTTAATATAAACTGTAGTTGGATCTAAACATAATTATTGTGTAACATATACTTCACCGAATCATTATCAATTTCAGTTACATCTGGAGTCTCATAGGGAACACATGTAGGCCCTTTATTATTTTTAATCTTTATAAATGACCATAAGTCCTTTGTTTCTGGTACACCATTCTATTGTATGGCGATCTTAAAATTTTCGTCTCTAAAAAATCAACATGAGACTCCCTTGTCTTGCATAAATCTTTGATAAGCTTGTTTTCTAACTATTTAAATTAAAATGTAGTTAAATGCTCAATAATTTCTGTTAATCGTTCTAATAACATTTTGTGTAATTATTCTCTCAATAATACCACATTAAACACAGTATCCTGCGTTAGACTTGTGTATTTTTTTTTTAGAACAAATTGGAATTTAAGAAGCATATCAGTTAATAAAAAAAAATTTAAATTCTAGATTTTGTTATAAAACACTTGTAACTTTCATAATTGACATTGTACAGAACTCGCATTCGTCCTCTCCTTAAATTTTCTACTGTGTAATCCACACTTTTCTTCTCGGTCTGAATTTTTAGATAAAATTCAAAATAGATTTATCAGAATCCTTCATTTTTTATTTCCTCTTCTTTCAACCTCAGATCAGTTTTTCTCTGTATATATCTTCCAGCTCTATCTGACAGAAGGCGTTTTGTGCTCTATTTCTTTACATTTATTGGCGACTAAATTGTGCTAACCCACAATTTCATGTATCACTTTCAATGACCCAATACATGCCATCAGGCATTCAAATCTATCATTTAGTGTACTCTGTTGTAAAATAAATTCCATATTTCATCAATAAATATAATGAGAGAAGGAAATAGTATTTGTCCAAATATTGATTTCTTTTAATACGTTTAAACATAATTAAAGGCAATAATTCTATAAATTGTTTTGAAATAATATAATTGTATTATATACAATATAATTCTTCTATTATATAAAATACATAAATATAATTTATTGTTTGTTGTTGTTTTGTTATTTTATCAACTTTGTTTATCTACTACTTAAATTGTTTATAACCTCGGTGATTTATACTTTTAGTTAAATGATCTTTGATCTGTATTTAGTTAGGAAACAGTAAAGGAATAAAAATATAAAGTAAAAACTTTATTCTTACATTCATAAATTAAAAATCGATAAAATTAGGTCAATTGTACACATTTTTTGTATTGATACAAAGAAAAGATCATATATTTACACACAATGAATTAAACATTGTTGGCATTTAGTTATAAATATTTTTTTCAGTTATCGATATTTTTTAAGTCCCTTCGCACGTCTTCTTGCACTTGCTGCCACTTAGCCACCAAGGAAGAAACGCCTTTCTTTTTCAAAGCCAAACCAGGTGCCAATTTTGTCTAAAATATAAAATTTGTAAAAAAAGTTATATGCAATTCAATGCAAGGTGTATGGATGAGAATTACCTTTTTCTTCTTCTTTGAAGCAATGTCTGTTGGTAGAGGATCAGGAACGGGAAGAGCTTGGGTGGTAGGCAGGGGAGGAGGGGGTGTTGGTTCCTTAAAAGATGGTAATGCAGGATGGGATGGTTGTTCTGACGGCTCCATTGATGCCAAATCATTGTAAAAACTATCGAGTTCCGATGATAAATCATGATTATCATTTCCTCTCGAGTGAGCTATGGCACTTATAGCTGTTCCTGCCTGAGAAAATATAAAGTTTAACCTTTAAATGTTAATTTTACATTTTAATTTTGATTAAGTACCAATGATGTTTGGGCGTAAGGTATTCCATAATGTATCTGAGGAATGATATGCATTCCCAATTGGCCCGGGATGTGAACAGGATATTCCTGAGGCAACGGTGGCATCGGGCGTAATATTTCGGGTGGATCTACTCCTGGTGGTAAGGGCTCCATTAAGTGGTGGTTAGGAAGTGGTGGTGGAGGCTCTTCAGGAGGTGGAGGCGGTTGTGTTGGAGGTTCAGAAGGAGGTGGTGGCGGTAAAGGAGGGAGTGGTGGTAAAATTGGAGTTTCGTCTAAAATCAAAGATTTAATTAATAAAACATCGTATTATTAATTACTTATGTACTAACCAGGGAATGTTGTTATCGAAGGCGGCGGGGGTGGGGTTGGTGGCGATATATTAGGAGGAGGAGGAGGACTGGGATGTGTGGGACTCGGAGGTGGCGGCGGAGTATTGCAAACTTCCATGTCTTCTTCTCCTCCGATCGTCATTGCCTTTTCAGTGTCCTCCGTTTGGGGAAATTCCCATGTAACCTGACCAGTCCTCTCATTGGTGTACGAGTAGCACTTCTCGTTCCTAAAAAACCCGCAACACCAAAACCGAGACCGTTAGTTAATTGGATTGGTCTTTCTTTTCTTTTTTTGCCCTTTTTTTCTATCAACTTTTGGTTTTGCTATTTTTGATATCAAATGTTGTTGTGTAACAATCCATATTCAATATGAAAAAAAAAAAAAAAATGAAAAAAAGATGATAATGTAACATCCTGGTTTATGAAAATGAAAACTTGTTTCTATAAAAATGTGCGCTTCTTTGATTTAAAACCTTCTCACATTTCGCACACAATGCTCGCTTAATTGTCGAATACAAAATCAAAATTACAAAATGTGTTTTTGGGAAAATAAATCTCAATAACTTTTATTAAATTTGTTCTTACCTATTTATTTACAATATCCATTACAGTTGGAATCTATTATGCTAAAATTGTTACATGTAGATAAAAAATCATGACCAAAGGGAAAAGAGTGAAGGAATAATATTTACAAATACAAATTTAAAAAAAAAAATTAAAGAAAAATCCAGGAACACCGGTTAAAAAAAAAAATTAGTTCAAACATACTGAACGCGGATTGCATCACTGTCAACAATTGAATATAAATTAACATAAAAACGATTCATACGAATGAAAAAATAAACAAAATGAATAATAAATCTATACCTACGTTCTTACTAAATTACACACTTTCACCTTATAATAAGAAACCAAAATGCAGGAAAACCAAAAATAAAGTTTAAAATAAATACGTAATATTATCGCTATAAAAGTCAATTGTTCTTTAATATCCATTAGCGGAGAATTGGTTGTTGATCCAGTGTGTGTCATCTTCATTGTCATAAACGGTTAATGACAACTCTTTTTATGGGCAAATTTGTAAATACTCCATTATTAAATGCTTGGTTTAAACAAGCACAACCACAGGAAATGGTCATGGACCATTCAAATCAAAGAATAAAATTAACTTTTAAAGTCTGTGCAAGATTAGCCTCCTCTCAGTCCATATTACTCTTTTTTTATGTATGGACATCAATTATAGCATCACTCTCTCTGAAGACTATTCCTGGCAACAAGATCAAAGCATAAATCATTGAAGTAAATAACAGAATATAACTTTTTTTAAAAGAAATTTAAAATAGCTGCAAAGTTAATTTGAAATTTTAAAATTATTTTACAATTTTTAATGTCTTTTACAATAAAAATTAAATCTATTATCTTAGCGAGAATTCATTTTCACAGTACAGCGTTGTTTGTTTTAAAATTATATACTATTTTATAACTGAATTAACAATACTGTTCCTATATTTTTTAAATTATGTATTATTTATTTTTTATAGCTGTACTGCAAAAATAGTGTTAAAATACATCACAAAGAACAAACATATTAGTAATATCAAAATGAAAAAAGAATTATATACAAAATTTTTATCTGTAATGTGCTTTTGTTCTATATTAAAAATATGATCGATAGAACAAATACCTTCTACTTCAAGTGTAATTTAATCAATTGCAAAAATATTCTTAATGCAGCTTTCAATACAAATTAAAGTGAAGGAAAAAGTAATACATTAAAAAAAAGTCTTACCTCCAGATGTCTTCTCACTTCTACCTCGTTCTTGAAGTTTATATACTAATTTTTATATATAATATTCAAAGAGCTGTAATATGGAACGTTAATTCGAAGGGAAAGGGGAGAGGAGTTGAGAAGAGTTAAATTTGGTTTGGAGTCATACCTCTGCCATTTGCACAGCCAGCCCTCTGGAGCAACGCTTGATTCAAGCCTCTCCAGCTCCCTCATGGTTTTCGTAAGCCAATCCGTAATGTACGTCTCTTTAAGGTCATTGCTTTCCCAGGCGGAGACAAGCGTCTAAAAAAACATTTATATTATTATGATATTATTACTGGAAATAAGTTTTATATTTACCTCTAATTGAATCGTCCAGAGCTGAACCGCAGAAACAGGTTCTTTGCTTGCCGATAAAAATTTCATTTTATCGAGCAGCAGACTAGATACATCTTTTACGTCAATCACCTCAGACTCATTGACAATGTCTGTTGGTTTGACTGGGTCAGGTTGTACAGAAGTGTTTGAATTATTCTCATCTGTAACATAAAATAATTTATTACAATTTTTTGTAATAACAAGGGTTGGTGGTTGGTTTATGCATTCAAGATAACAAGTGTTGTGGTGACACCTGCAGTTACCACAGCACCCACTAGGTATCACCAACATTCGTTCTCCACTCTGCAGCCAGTTAGAGTGGAGCAATTCTGTATAAAGCAGAGGTACTGCCCCAATGACTTCAGACTCGTCTATTTACCAAGCTCTCGCCAACACCATCAGACTTGTCTACTCGATGAGCTCTCACTATTCACTAGAAACTCATCTCCCCAACGAGGTCTCAACCATCACTAATGCACCAGCCAAAATCAGCTTCAAAGCAAGGGTACTTCCAACATTAGCCTTAACCTTGCCTTCTCAACACAGCCGACTGGCTACTGACCAACTGCTGCACTCGGCTACATGTTGTACCACAGTCCCTTCAACCATTGCTGAGTCAACTGACTCACTTCTTCCAGTCATGGCCTCAACCATCGGTTTGTCACAAAATAACAATACTGGCCCTTGTCAGGGTCACCCAAACACCCAGTCAATAAAGAGTGTAACCATGAGTATGATTTTAACTCCTAAATACCTCGTTTTCTTAAAAATCGAAACAAGGGACCCAACAACCAACTTTCTTGCCCAAGGGTGTCTTTAAGCTGGGTGCCATGCCTACTTGCTCCCTGTAAGGGCTCCTCGATTAAGTGTGACACACTGAGTGACCTTTCTCTACAAGCGGGATGTGTGGAGTTGGCCCCAAAAACGTATCCCTGGGTTAATCAGGTAAGGCCTATCATCAAAGGGCGGAGCACAATTCCTTCCTTATGTTTCAGACGATCATTGACATATAAGAACTTCTCACATGATCCAGCCCATTGATGTTGGCACCATTCTTTTATTGTATTGTTTACTACACATACAGTTCTGGAGGGCAAGAAGACATGGTTTTTGACACGTAACCCTCCAGCCAAACGTGTCTGACTACTACATTTTTCCGAGGTACTCCAAAACTCATCTCTCTCTCATAAGAACACAACAAAAGAGTCTACCAAGAATCACAAATAGCCGAAGCTGCACTGCCAAATTGCATACAACTCCACCTTGTACAACCCTCTCTCATTCTAGACCTGTCTGTAAAAACCAGGCAAAAAAATGCAGCTCGGTAGAGGTGTGGCAGTGTACAAGACCAGGGTAGTATCACACTGGAAGGACACAGGGAAGAATTGGTCTATTTTTCAGCTGAAGTACTATCCCCAGTGTGAAACCAGCCCTCTCAAAGCCGAAGTGAATGCTCAGGGTGTCACGTCCTAGTTCAGTCAAGTTTTTCAGGATTGTTCCTGCTAGGGTGGCCCAGACTGCTGCTAAGCTGAGAGTAAGCTCTCCAGGATTTGAGTGGCTGCTCTCTCAGCTTGCAGCAAAAGCTGACCAAGCGGCTGGTCTTAAGCACATAACATTGTTAATTTATGATATATTGTCAGACCTGATGAGGAACTAATGGAACAGGCCAAAATGTACAGGGCAACAATAATGAATAAATCCCGAGGCTGATCTTTGGCGAGTCTTGCATTTATAAGAGTTCAACATTTCATCGCCAAGCCTGGTTAAAATAATTTAATTTATAGTATTACCATTTTACAATGTTACTGAGAGCAACTGGGATTTATAATCGTACTGCTAGAGCTTGTAGATGACAGTTTTTTCATTGGGCAAAAGACCATATTTTTTACCGGACTTACAGTGTTGCACAGGCTATAATGAAAGTGTGCACCGGATATCCATCCAGCAACTATTTACTGCCAGGTGTGAGTCCAACTGCCCTCAGTGCAACAGACACCGATCTGGCATAAGAAAGTGCAGTCAACCTCGCCAGTGTACTGATGTGTGTAGACATTACCAGACATATCGCTCGTTTTCTGTAAATTGCTTGTTGTCCCTGTTTCTTTATATTATCATTTTATATCACGTTTTAAATTATAATGTATTATTGTCAATAAAAGTCTAATTTTTTCTGCATGCGAAGTGAGTGTAAAATTTTTATTTCATCTTCTTCCAACTGCTCAAAAAGAGAATGAAATTGAAATGCACCATATTCTTCCCATATCAACAATATAGGATCTACCCACAATGACCTTTTAAATTGTTCTGTTTCTTTTTGTTTTTTCTTGTAAAAATAGTCTCCCCCCCCCCGACATTATACACATGTGTAAGTTACTTGGCTACCAGTTCAAACTGAGCCATATACAAAACATATACAAAAAAGTCTGTTTATTGTGGATGTCTGATAAAAAGAAAAAAAGCAGTTATCTCAAAATTGTGTACCAAGAGTATGAAATGAATACCTGTGTCTTTCTGCGGTTGGTTTAATGTTTCTGCTTTAACAAACTGGATTTTTTCCAATTTGGCCCTTTTTGGGTTGTCGTTATCTTTTTGACTTTCATTTTCTATATCTTTTTTAGCTGTGGGTTCAGAAGGAACTTGTTCTTCCACTTTACGACTCTGCTGGGGAATCTCAATTTTGAGTTTTCTTTTCAGACCCATTCCCGATGAACTGTCTCCTGCTGAGTCACCAACGAAAGAATTCAACCCGGAAGAAGAATTACCTAGGAAAATTAAACCTGTTAGAGAATATATTTGGGATATAAACGTGATATAATACCTCCATCTTCTTTGGAATCCTCGGAAAACTCGGCTGTATCAAACTGCCCTAAAGTAGTTGCAATCAGCTGTTTTGCCCTTGCTGTCAGCTTTGATTTCAAAGAGTTGTTGATTCTACTTGTAGATTTCTTGTCTTCGTCCTGATCAGAATCAGGCGTATAAGATGGTACAAGAGAAGGTTTCTCCTCAGTTATTATATTCTTTACGCTTTCAGGAATTTCCCCACCGAGCTCTTGAAGCACTTGAGTCTGACTTCTTAACCGGTCGAGCAATGTCGACTCGTCGTCAAACTCATTGCTTGTCTTACTATTAGAATCTGAGTTCTGCTGGATCTGTTCCCTTATCTCTTTGATCTTAGATGCTAGCTTTAATTTGACCTCTTCTTCCTTTGTTAACTGTGGAGAGTCATCCGTTTCAGAATCATCGTGATGATAGGGCACAAGGCTGCCGGAGGAGTGTTGCGAATGATCTTCTTTCCCTAATTTTCTCCTGTGATGATAGTGTGATCCTTTATAGTGATTTGTTTCCAAATTTTTCTTATCTTCGACTTTCTCAAGTTTACTGTCCTTTTTCTTTTTAATAGGAATCATTATAGGTTCTTTTGCTTCTTGATCAGATGAATCATCTCCTGAATTCGGACCATAAGATGTGATCAATTCTATTTTTCTACAAATAAAACATTATTTAATAAATAAAAATCAAAAACATTTTACAAAATTTAAACATACTCATCATCAGAATCAACTTTTTTCTTTTTTTTCTTGAAGTGTTTGAAAACTCTTTCCTCGCTAGAAGGTGGTTTACTTTGTTGTTGCATACTTTGTATTTGTTGTTGTTGCTGCTGCTGTAGATGCTGAGCTCTTGCTTGTTGGATCATAGCAACGACTAGAAACATTTTTAAAGGAATAAATTATTTGCAAAAGAAAAAACTTTCAAAAATTTAAAAAACAAACCTCCATTGGCTTGATACTGCTGCCACTGTTTCAAAGCTTCACGGTACGCTTGATACTCATGCGGCATATCCCATGTAACTTCATTTGTTTCCATGTTCCAGTAATATGTGTAACCTGTCGAACTGTCGTAGCATTCCTGCCAAGCTGTATGCAGTAAATTAGTTTAGTCATTATTAAAAAGATAACGTTTAACTTACAATTTGTAGGAGCAGTAGGAGCAGTGGGGTCGTGCTGACTCCCTTGTGTGTAAGTATCTTGTGCCGACTGATGTACTTTTTCAACTACAGGAGGATTGACCTGTGGTTTTACGATTGTTTTGGGCTTTTCAATAACGTAAATACTGTCTACTTCCTTCAATGAAACAAAAATTAATAAACGTATAAAAATTTACTTAAAATTGTGATAAATACTTTTATAAATGCTTCGACTTCTCCTTCTAGATCAGAGTCACTACTGGAACTATCAGTGCTGAGGTAGCCGGACAGTCCAACCAGGGCAGTTGTTTTGGCAACTGAATCGACACCTTCGTCTTCCTCTTCTTCTTCCACTTCCATTTCGCCCTCTTTGGGACTCCCTTCTGATACACCGTTTGTAACATGCACAGCACTAATGTGTTCATATTTAGCTGCAAAAGGATTTAAAAATTGATATTTTGCACCATTTTAATTGATAATGATAAAAAAAACTGCCTCGTTTCAATATTTTTAGAATGAATTTTATAAAAAATAATATTGTAAAACTCAACATTATGAATGCTTTATTCTGAGCCTGATCTATATACAAGATGATCCAATGCAGACAAAAATGAAGAACAACAATCTTTCAACACACCAGCAATGATGGCAACAATTCAAAAAGCCAGGCCAAAATTTTGAAGATAGACGGATAAAAATTATTAGAAATTGCCTTATCGAATGTTTATTATACCAAAGGGCACAGACTTCTAGAATAAGAAAGAATAAGAAATCAAGTAGTTTGGTATTTCTATTAATCATGGTTGGGGTAATCTGAAAAAGGTCAAGAGCAAACAATTTAGTCGAAAATGTTGTAAGGAGAAACAAGCCAAAATAAGCCTCAACTACTTGCTAAAAAACAGGAGCAAAAAAATTAATTAAAATTCTATAACAAAACTTTCTCATAATTTCAAAAAAATATTGTTTTAGTGTTACAATCTGCATATATTGACTAAGAGACAGACATGATTGTAGCTCAGTATTTCACTTCCAAAGAAATTTGCAAGATTTACACTTTTATGAAAACAAACTTGCACAAAGAGCCAAAGAATTAAGAATGCAGTTTTTTTTTGTCCTGAATGTCTCTTAGGAAATTAAAAAAGTCTATGCAATAAACTAACCCCCTGTGAATATGGCAAAAGACCAAAACACAATATTTAAAAGCTGGGTTGGTCTGCCAGATGCGTATAAGTATTTTGCAATATTCAGTGTTTAGTTATGACTTAGCTCCTTCAGAGTAGCTAAAACCTGCACTTTATAATGTGAAATTTCTTAATGACATCTGTTGGATAATAAAAACACTATTAAAAAAAAGGTTGGTCTTTTACCAACAACTTTGTCTTTCTATCCTTGGTGCTTTAAGCACTTACCCGACTCAATGCTACCAACGTGACCCAAAGCCAATTCGATGTCCAAATTCCCATATGATTGTATTACCCCCGTGCACATACTTACGCTCGGAACCAAGTTCCCACTGTCCAGATTTTCGTCGAGTAGCATCAAGAACAGTCGAAGGCAAAAGAATCAGACACTTTTTGTTGTTTATTTCAAACTTTATGTATTTTTTCATCATATTAATTACAACATGCTTATTTTAATGTAAACCAAATTAAACGGGATCAAAAATGCATAAGTTTTAATAAAAATTATGATGGTTTGACAAAAAATTTATCAAAACATTGGAATACCATTTATTTATAGAATGAAGTTAACTAACAATTTATTGCCTATAATGCACTAAGAGCAAAAGAAGCGTTGCATTTGCGATACATGCTGTGTGACTGTCTGTGGCGGGTGCTTGATTTCGAATGGATGTGCACACCCTACCAAAATGAGACAAGGCATCAGGTCATATCGCGTTGGATGTGTTACCCGCGTTAGTCTGTTATACGAGTGTTACCTTTTGCCATGATCAGTACATTGTACAAACTTTGAGGCCAAAATCTTCTATTAAGTGTAGTTTGGTCATTTCTGACCATCCTGAAAAATCTGAAAGATCAATACTGTTTGAAGATACAGATGATAGTATCAGAAATTACCAAACTACATGATAATCTATCATCATCTTTATGCTGTGCATTGATAATTGATTCATCATGACAAAACTACATGCATATCATCAGATCTTTAAGAGAAAATATTACTACATTAAAAATAGCATTTGGTCTGAAATGTTGAAAAAATCCAAATGTGTTTATCACTCTTATTAATGTTATTTTTTCCCTGAAAGACTTTAATAAGAAATCCCACATTATTAAGGCTAGTTTGGTTGTTCCTAATCATCCTGGACTGGTTGTCTTAAGGCATAGGATGTGGATTGCACACTGCCAAACAAATCTTAAAGATCAAAACTGTCCAAAAAGACATGCAAAAGTGTTTACAACATGCAAAAGAAGTTACCAAACTACATGAAGACCCATCATCTTTATGTTATGGATCGTTAATTGATTCTTCATGACAAACTACGTATTTATCATCCTGATCCCAAGAGTAAATGTTACTACATTAATAATATGGTTTAGTATATCAAATGATTTGGATTTATATAGGCTTAAATGCACACATGTATGTGCTGAGTTGAGCCCATTTGCTTCGAGCACTGGCAATTCCAGCTTTTGTTATTTACAATAAACTGCCAGCAAGAATCATCAACCCCCAGGTGTTTGCAGTCTGAGTCATACCTCAATCTTAGCCATCTGTGTGTGTGTGGGGGGGGTCAATAGCTAGGTCAATTCAGCACAAGCGCATGCAGTTCCAATCTCATTCATACTCATGTACATTCTTAAATACATTCACTCTCATTTACATACCATTCGTTCTATGAAGGTGATGGAGTGCTTGATATACCTCCATCACCCTTTACATATATTATTCAACTAACCTAATTGATGATCGATGGGTATTCGATATTCCACCATCGACACTCTCAAATCACACATTTGTGCTAATAAATACATTCACTCTCAACACAACCTTTACACATATTATACAATTAACCTAATTGAGGGTCATTGGGGTACTCAATATTCCACCATTGACACTCAAATCACATATTCATGCTAATAAATACATTCACTCTCATCACAACCTTTACACATGTTATGTAATTAACTTAATTGAGGGTCGATGAGTACTCAATATTCTACAATAGACCATCTGACATCCCACATTCTCGCTAATAAGTAAATTCATTCTCAACACCAACTAGGTACTATAATCACTATAGACAACAGAACAACCCTGTTTCCTCCAAGAATCTAAACAGGGGACCCAAACACCTGCTGCCATGCTCAAGCACAATTCTCAAATCAGGTGGCATTCCTGCGCGTTCTCTGTATGGAACCAAGGAACTGCACCCTTCAATTAGGTGGGATACATCGAGCAATCTTTCTCTACATGTGTGGGCACACATATGTGGGCTTAGGCGCAAACGTAAGTGTCCTTGTGTTAACCACACATGGCCTATTCTTAATCAGGTGAGGAGACCTTTCTTCTACGAGTCAAATCCTCCGAAGGTATATTAAATAATTTTTACCATTTTACCATCTTCACCAGTGAGTAATCACCAAGCAATAGTCACCTCAGGATAACCAGAGAGGACTGACTAAAGAAAGAACTTTCAGACCTCAACAAAATATGCCACAATCTGTTGATTTACTTGACAAGACTTTTTTCTCCAGTCAGTTGCTAAATCGATACACTGACATTTTACTTTTTTTTAATACATTCTGAACCACATGGATATGTATTTGTAGGCTAAAAGGATTTACGTTTTTGTTAAAGGGCTTTTCTTTATAAACCTGAAGGTTTTTTGACTTTCTTGATAATAGTTACTCGAAATAATAAAAACCCCTAAGGGCTGCGAGAAAGGAAATGTCGAATTTGCAATAAATTCGAAGGACGTCGCAATTTGTCGTGGAATCCAATTGAAAATAATTGTTCTTACACTTCCAGGTCGGCCTGTTTTCTTTGGGCGAGCCGTCGAGGCTCAGGACTTGCTTCCTCCCTGAGTTGTAGCGTTTCATGCCCATCATTCGGAGACGACGACGAGACGAGAGATGGAAGTCGGCTAGTGAAAAACAACAAGTTTTTCCCAGGAGATCCGACAGAAAAATAACTTTCGAAGGTTACTCGGTTGTTATCGGCAATATGGAGACGGCGAAAGGGAATGGCGAAAGGGATTGGCGAAAGGGAACTGCAATTGTCGAGGAGGCCTTTTTAGTTTTTACCTTTTTGACGGTGCACCTCCATGACGAAGGGCGACTTTTCAACGTCCAATAGGCGTTTCTATTTCACCAGAGCGGATAAGGGGAATCCAACACGCAAATTCACCAATGAAGACATGATTATACTATTATTTATTTACTATCTTAAAAAATAAACACAAATAAGCTTTATTTTTACACTTTCCCCTATAAACACGACGAAAATTAATTTTTGCAATTTTTTAAATATAAATTTCACCATCTATTTAACAAAAGATGAACGAAAGGTGCCTTGAAAGTTCGATACTCTTTGGAACAGGGAAATATTTAAACAGTACCAGTATCTCTTAGGACTTAGGAACAGAATTTGGTAAATTTTTAAGTCAATTTTACAAACTCCAGCTAACAAAAACTCAAAACCTGTACTTTGATTTGACCAGCTTTGGAACGAACTGACCCCAAATAATAAAGCGTTTATTATGGGAGAAATGCACCTATAAATTAATAATATAAAAAAAAGGTCAAAATTCAAAATACAGTTTGTATAATAGCATAAATCTAATACATTTTCTTATTATCTTATAAAACATAAATATCTACGGGGTTGTTTCATTGTATACAGTAATAATAGTTGTGTATGCCTAGTTTGTGTTTGAGTGAATGTATTTATTAGCGCGAATGTGTGATATGAGAGGGTATATGGCGGAACATCGAGTACCTTATCGACCCTCAATTAGGTTAATTGCATAATATGTGTAAAGACTGTGTTGAGAGCGAATAATATTTATTAGTTTTATTAGGGTTTCTGAACTAACGACTCCAATAAAGTATTTATTAGCGTAGATGTGTTATGTGACAAGGCTGGTTGTAAAGGGTGATGGAGGTATATCAAGTACTCCATCGCATTCATAGAACGCATGAATGTATGAAAATAGGAGTGAATGTATTTAAGAATGATTATGAGTATGAATGGGTTTGGAAATTCATTTAGGTGCAGAATTGACCTAGCTATTGACAGCACCCCCCCCCCCCAAAGGAGCACAATCTCGGTGGCTGGACGGAGAAGACTGATGTCTAACCTCAGACTCCCAACACCCAGGGTAGGTGATTCTTGAATCTGCCAGCAATTTACTGTAAACAGCAAAAGCTGGAATTGCCAGTGGACTATGAAAAACAAATTGGCTCAACCCGGCACAAGTTTGTATGTACATAGGTACATGTGCAGATTTGAGCCTATATAAATCCAAAATCCAAATAAATACTTTCTTCAATATTTTTAATTTATAATTATATGGATGATATTTGGAGATCATGAGGTGCGATCATCATCGTCATGCCGTTTCGATCTTTATTGAGATCATCTTCAGGGCTCAAAGTGTTTGTTTTCTGTCTTGGATGTCGTGTTGTTGTAACAAAGCCATTTTTTACCTTTCTGATGGTCAGATTGTAAAATCAAAATGAACTGTTAAGTTTATTAATTTGTTCTGTTCCTTCTTCTTTAGCTTTTCATAATATATAAAATTGACATGACAAGTGAAAATCACACAAACTAAACAAGGAATATAGTAAAATTTTGCCATATTCAGCTTATTTGGTCCTTTTTATACTCACTTTAGTTTGCGAAGTGCTGAAACATGTTTAAAAGAGGCGAAGAACTGAACGCATACCAGAATGTTTGGGAATGACCAAATTACAGATTAAAAACTGCTGACTAATTGAAAATCAGACAAACAAAACACAGAATACGGTGAAATTTTGCCACATTGAGCTTGTCATTTGTGTCCTTTATATATACTGAAGTGCATGAAGTGCTGGAACAACACTGAAAGATTAAACAAGATCAATGAAACTACAGGTTCATTACATAACATACCTCAAGAGGAAATCTCACTTTTTTATATACGCACAATTTAAGATTGTACTAACAAAACTTACTGCTAAGTTTCTTAATTTGTTCTCAGGTTATTTTCCTTTCTTCTTATCTGATGCATTTTTTTCTTGTGATGAGAGTAATTTCAAGTCCATTTTATATATTGTGAAAGAAGAAGAAACTGAGAACAAGTTAAGAAATCTAGAAGTAAATTTTGTTTTTACAATCTTAAAATGCATAGATATTTAAAATGTGATATTTGTCTATTGAAATTTGTTGGGTGTTTTAACCTGTAGGTCCTTAAATTTGTTTTGGCTCTTCACCAAGTTCAGTGTATACAAAAAGGATTCAACTGACAAAATTTGCTGTACATGGTGAAATATGGTATCCGTGTTTGGTTTGTTATTTTCACTTAGCGAATGAACTTGTCATTTTGAATGTTGGTCGTTTCCAAACATTCTTCTCTGTGTTCCTATTGTTCTTTCAGATATGTTTTGGCACAACGTCACACAAGTTATGTGAGTATAAAAAGGACACAAATAACATATAATAACTTATTTAGGTCCATTTTTATATTGCGAAACAAAAGTAAAAGAAACTGATATTAAATTATGAAACTTAGGAATAAATTTTATTTTTAATATAAATTTTGTAATATTTTGTTGCTGGAGTTGTAAAGTTGAGTTGAGTTTTATTACCAAATATTTTGATATTGAGTTGAGTTTTTGAGGTTTGTGTGGTGGTGATGAGCCAGACCTTGCTCCTGCTTCATCTTTTAAACTTGTTTCAGCACTTCACCAACTTCAGTAAGTAAAAAAAAACATCATAAATGACAAAATTGTAAGCTCAATATGGCAAAATTTCAGCATATTAGTTTGTGTAATTTTCACTGCCATCATGTATCTCAGCCGAAACATTCTGGTATGTGGTCAGCTCGTTGCTTATTTGATCTTTCAAACATTGATAGATTTAAATAAATTGAAATTTTGCCATATTCAGCTTTTTATCAATCCCACATCTTGTTTTAAAATGACTGCTAATCTGTATATTCTTAGCAGTCATATCATATTAATTATTTCAGTTAATTATTTTTTTAAATCTAAGGTCTTGGTTAAGATGAAAAAGTTATTTCGTGAGTGCGATTCGAACCCACAACCTTTGCCTAAATACGCCGCTACCTTAACCACTTAAACTATCATGACTTTGATTCAATCGCACACCAAGACGAAGGTTGTGGGTTCGAATTATTTGAAATCACTGCTAATACACACCTGAATTGTTATAAAGAATTTTGTATGCAGAATATGGAGCAACGCTGCTTCTAAACGTATGCCTACACATTTTTCAAAACAATTGGTAGTATTAAAAAGCAACCAAGAATCTCAAAAGAAGCAACCTTGATATTACAAAAACAAGGTTAATTTAATTTGTGATATTTAGCGACCAGTTGTTTAATAAGTAGTGAGCAGCGGCCAAGAATGAAGTATTTTAGATAAACCCCTTTTTCATTTTTTGCTGACGTTTTGACCTTTATTTCAGGGTTCAGGGTGTTACAAAACACATTGATTGGAAAAAATAATTGTACAATATGTATAGTAATTTGATTGTGTAATTTTTTTTACAATCAAAATATGTTTTGTAATTCACCCAGGCCCTGAAGATGACCCGAATAAAGAATGAACGTCAGCAAAAAAAAAAGTGTTTAAAATTCTTCATTCCTCACTAGTTCAACCAATTGTTAATTTAATTACTGCTAAGTTTCTCCATGTGCTTTTACATTAGAGCTTAAAATAATTTTTGAGTCTGAATAAGCCTTAAAACACATTTACTTTTAGGCCTTTGGTGTTTCATCTTGGGTTTTGACAATAGAACAAAAAGACAAAATTGAAACTAAATATTTATTGTGGTCATAGGAATACAAATACAAACAATAGAACACGTGGACAACATTTTGTCGATGCGACAAATAATCAACCAGTTTCAAAACAAATGTCCATAAGTGTTTTTCCCTTGTTTTTTATTCATGTGGTGGAAATTTCACCCCCTTTCGAAGGTGAAAAAATGTATTACAAATCTATGAGTCAAAAATACAAAAACGATTGAAAATGTTTTTTTTCCTTTTACTACTTAGTATAAAACTGTACAAAAATGGAACCTGTTAATTAGATATACACCAATCTTCAAATTCAACCAAGTGCAAACAATTCACCTATAAAAAAAGTTCATACACGACACCTCTTTTGTTTTTATTAAAAAATTGATATTTAAATTTATACAACTCTTTCTACATAATTATTTGGCGGTTGGATAAATGCACAAAAGACCCCAGAGGTTTGTTGCGTCATACAATTTTTTTTGTCTTATAATAATTCAAAGAGACTACATTTTGTCTTAAGATAGTATACAATTTTTCTGTGTGAAGACGATGAACATCATCGGATTAACATGGAGAAAAGAGGATTGTGTTGTTTTCACACTTCAGTCGATATACAATGGTTAATAATACTGCATTACTCTATACAATTCACATTGTCTGCCACTACAAAGAAGTTTTTCCTTTTACTGATTAGTTTCCTTTTGCTTATAAGAGCAAATTAAAATTAAACAAGAAATTAAAAATCACAATTCTGATTAGTATTTTAAACTAATTTGTACAAATTAAGAGACAAAAAGGTACAGGTACATGAGAGATTGTAACTGCCTTTTTTTAATGAAAAATCACAACCCCCAAAAAAATTTGTTAAATAATAGAACAGGAATGATGCAAAATTAACAAAAAGAGAGAAAAAAAACGATATACAATGTACAAAATTAAAAACAGTCTGAGATAATTAAAAGACAAGTAAATAATTCCATATGGATTTTGAGATGGAGAGTTTTTAGGCGGCCGCTTCTGCTTCGCCGTTCTCCACTTTCTCTTCCAGTTTAGGTTTTTTCTCAGGGCTCACGCCATCAGGAACGTCGTCGGTCTTATCCCCACCGCCCACATCGGATTTCCTCTTCTGTGCCGTATTTTCCACTTCTAACAGACAAAAACGATCAGAGGTTACACAAGGTGGTCCGCTGGGCCTCGCTGGTTTCACTTACCTTTCGACTCTCCGTTCTCGACGGGCTTTTCTTCTTCGGCTTCCTTCTCGTCTTCGACCTCTTCTACGCCGTTCTTCTTGGAGTCGCCGTTCGTCTCCTTCTCGACCCCGTTCGTCTCCTTCTTCACCTCCTCCTCCTTCTTCTCCTTAGGTTCCTTCTCGGGGGAGGCGACTTTCTGTGCGGTTTCTCTGCACAAATAAAAATTCCAGAATTACACGCTTTATTGAAGGGGTCGTCGAATCGCGGAAAAGCCAACGGCGGAGAGGAGGAAAACCGTTTGGAAAAACGGAAAATAAAAGCCCACGCTTCGGCCATGTTGAAAAAGCCGGTACCGCCAAACGGGTCCCGCTCTCTGCCCGGCGTGCTTTAACAAAACCGACTCACTTGACTTCAGCGACGCTTTCACTCATTTTTGCACTCTTTTTTTATCACTTGGCAACTGATCTGGAGAAAATGTGAACCCGACTCAAATCCGTTCAAATCTCAACTCGTTGGGAGATGCGCACCGGTCCGACGTCGAAGAGCAAAGAAGGACGACTGAGGTTGACCGTTGGGAGGCATGCGCGTACGGTGTCCTTGATCCGGGCCGGTCGCAGGGAGGGCGCCCCCCACCCGCGCCCCTCTCCAAATCCACTCCAACGACGCACCCTCCGATATCGCACCCCCTCCATTCTACGTTCCACCGGGTAATTTTCCGATCCCAAGCCTTTTTTCCTCATCCAACCGACTCGCAATACCCGGGCTAAACCACCAACAACGAACGTTCAGGTTTAGTCAAGTGAAAGATACAAAATGAACTGTAATTTTTCAGATCTGACTTTGAGGGCAGGACTGGTCAAAATCCAGTTCAACTACTAACCTCAGAAGTTGGGAAGTAGTCGGAACTATAACTACTTCTTGCAACATGTACTTAAGATTCAAGAAACACCAGTCGGGTTTTTTTAAATTGGGGAAACCAGAAAAATGAGAAAATACAATTTGTATACATTGAAATAGACCTACAATTTTGCCTTTCCCAAAGAAAAGAAAGGTAGAAAATGCTTAATTTTATTAGTCATAAAAAGAGCCATATCCGATTTGATATGAAAAAAATTAAGATTTTACTCATTAAACTGCTTTTTTTCAGATCACATCAAACGTTATCGGATTAAAACGAGCTTTTTACAAATCAAATATTCATATCAAACTGAACTTTTTATAAATCGAATTTCTTATTTCCAGATCACATCGAAATTTTTTCTGATGAAGACGAACTTTTCTAAATAAAATCATACTTTGTCCACATCAAATTGACCTTTTTTCAAATTATATTCGGCTTTATGCACATCAAATTTTATTTTGTTTGTATCAAATTGAGCTTATTTTTATTAGTCATAAAAAGAGCCATTTCCGCTTTGATATTTCGTATATCGAAATATTTCTTCCTGATTTTGCCTTTATTCACCTACTTTTCAATTTTTGTACCTGTTGCAATAGTTGATAAAAAAGCAATTCAACTACAAACTTCAGAACTTCTGAGTAACTTGTATCCTGTCCTCAAGATGCCTGTTTTTAATGGAGAGATAAGAAAAACGAGAACATATAATTTATTCATAAAAATAGTCTTACAATTTTGCCTCTCCCAACGAAAAGCAAGGTCGAAAATCCTTATTTTTATTAGTCATAAAACGAATCATTTCCGATTTAATATTTTGCCTGTGGAGGTTGATAAAAAAGCTATTCGACAACAAACCTCAGTACGTTTGGTGCCTCAAGTCTGAAGGAACTCTTTTTAATGGAGAAATCAGAAAAACGAGAAAATATCATTTATTCATTGAAATAGGCCTAATTCCTTATTTTGCAGGATTTTCGTAATGTTTCTTCCTAATTTTGCTCGTATACTCTTAGTTTTTGATTTCTGTCTTTTATAACTAACGTTTGGTGTCTCAGGTCTGAAGGAACGCCTGTTTTTAATGAGGAGATCAGAAAAAAGTGAAAATATAATTTATTCGGTAAAACAGGCCTACACTTTTGCCTCTCCCAAGAGAAGGTCGAACATCTTTTTTTAAATCCTTATTATTTAAGTCATAAAAACTTAACGATAACATCATATATTATAGAAATACTAAAAACAGTACCACTAACCAAAGAGAAGTATAAAAATGTACTAAAATCAATTAAAAAACCACACACAACAATGAATATGACAGAAACAGAATAAACATGATGAACCGTGGGTTGTTTCCGATCATTCTGGTCTGCCTAGAACCTATCCAAATTTGTAAAATCAGAAATAAGTAATATTTAATACGCTTTAAAAACTTAAAAACTTATAGAAGGTCAATTCTGATGAAATAACGTACAGACACACTACTGAAGATGGCGATAAGCTGAAACACAGACCAAACCAGCGGGGGAGAATAACAATTGCGAGCCGTAAACTTCCAACGTCTAAAAATTTTCCCAAATAGTTGACAATGTAGTTAAATAATGCTCAATAGAGTAGCTTGAGGCATACTGCTAATTTCTCATAGCTTCCGTTTGCCTTTTAACGCTGCATTCTTCACCGGTTAAGTCACCTCTGAGGCCGAAAAGAGTTTCTGTACACCTCGCACTGCTTAAACGTCTTTGCCCTTTCTGTTTTTCATTGGTCGGCCAGCGAGAAAACTCATTAACATCCTGGACTTGAAAAAGCACATCGGGCTGGGCTGATTGTGGTGCTTAGCCGAAACTATGGTCATGGGAAACCGTGAAGTGCAATGGGCTGGGGTCAATTTGCTGCGGCCCTTACCGACACCCTTTGCCCATTCTACCATCCACACTACAAATCGTTTGTCATGCTATATCAGTAATAATGTACCGTGTCTGAAACTGTTTTGTTTGTCGTTCCTTGAAACGTCAGACGATCCAGAATAAGCCGAGGAAATCGCCTATGCTAAATAATAAAACAACACAGTTGAAAACAAGAGTGATACGTATAAGGAGCTGGCCGTAATCGCCAGGACGTCCGATTAGTCACGTATCGGTCCTCTGTACGATTCCCGGCGTCGCACTTGGACTTTCTTCGACATTTTCTAATATGGAATAAGTTCAGTAAGTACTCAAGTGCTGTGACCCGAGAGGACAATCTGACCGTATAATTGCGTTTCACTTGATGTTTTACGCTGTTTGACTTAATTTTAAGAATTTCGAGAAAAAATTGTAAACGCTTATTCCGAAATAAAAAAACATCCAGCATTAGAAATGACTCGATTCAATTGTACAATTGTATTGCCTTGGCAGGCATTGTGTCCAAATATTTTCAACCAAGTTGCAGCTTTATTTAAAAAGTCTAGAAAATCAAATTTCAATTTTGGAGAAATTTTGGAGTGGGCATTTAGTACACGATATGTTAACATATTCAAACGAGAATTCGACTTTTTCCGATTTTCCTCCCAAAGAGATGCCAGTTTCAGTTTTACATAACAAGTATTGGGTTGTCCGGAAAATAATGCAGGATTTTAAGTTTTCATTAAAAAAATCTATATAAAATATTCTGTTTACGTTTACAGGATTACTCATTTGTATGAATGTCAACACTTATTAATCCTCTTCCAAATGATATTGTTTGTTTACCTCTGTAGCATTCCGCTACTTGGAAATAATTCAGTCATCCTTATAATGTCAAAGCGAGAATTTCGTACGATTTTCTTTTACGAGTTTAAACTCGGCCGAAGCGGAGCCCAAACGGCTAGAAACATTAACCAAGTCTGGGGCGAGGGTTGTGTTAATGAGTGCACTGTGCAAAGGTGGTTTAAAAAATTTCGGGAGGGAGATTTCAGCCTTGAAGATGAAGAAGGTCGTGGAAGGCCTTCCTCTCTTAATGATGATGTTCTGCGATCAGTGGTGGAAGAAAACCCCAAAACAACTGTTCGAGAACTTGCAGAGCAACTCAAAGTCAGTAAAACGACCGTCGCTGACCACCTCAAGGCGATTGGAAAAGTGAAAAAACTCGAAAATTGGGTTCCACACTCATTAAACGATCGCCAAAAAAATCAGCGCTTTGATGTTTGTGCATCACTTCTTTGTCGAAACAAAAATGACCCATTTCTGGCCAGAATTGTTACATGTGACGAAAAGTGGATTCTGGACAGTGGCTCGACAAAGGAGAAGCTCCAATACATTTTCCAAAGCCCCCAACTCATCAAAAAAAGGTAATGGTTACGGTATGGTGGGCTTCATTTGGTTTAATACACTACAGCTTCTTAAATCCTGGCGAAACCATCAATGCTGAATCATACTGTAACCAAATTAATACCATGCATCAGAAATTGGCAGTAATGAAGCCCTCTTTGGTCAATCGGAAAGGGCCCATTTTGTTGCATGACAACGCTCGACCACATGTGTCACGTGTAACGTCACAAAAATTATTGGAGCTTGGCTATGAAACTTTGCCTCACCCACCCTACTCTCCGGACCTCTCGCCTACTGACTACCATTTTTTTAGACACCTGGACCACTACTTACAACACATAATATTCAAAAATCAAACGGAACTGGAAAATGCATTTATTGACTTTATCAATTCTAAAAATTCTGAATTCTACTCAGACGGAATTAATAAGTTACCAACACGTTGGGAGAAATGTATTGAGAGTATGGGAAATTATTTTGATTAAAGAACATTGCTTTAAAGTAACTAGTTTCTTTTTTTTTGTTTAATACCAAAATCCTGCATTATTTTCCGGACAACCCAATATTAACATATTCATACAGTCACCGTCAATATTTTTTTTCTGTTGACTATCGCTCGCTAACAAGTTGAAATTGTTATCATCTAAAATTTTTTGGCTAATGTTTGTCTGTAAAATTCCTCGAAGAGCCCATAACCGGGTCACAGTTATTAATTAATAGAAAGTTTATTATATTATTCTTGGTTAAAATTAGAATTTTAATTTTAACTTATGTTATTTTATTCACTGAGGTTTGAAAGCAGGAATCTCTCTATTCATCCACCTGAACGTCGATAAAAATCTCAGCCACATTTTCACGAAAATTGGGCTATGAGAAGTTTAATTTGTTATAAAAAAGATCAATTTGATTTGCATGAAGTTCGATTTGCAAAAGTACGGTGTGATCTAGTAAAAAATCAATTTTGCTTGGAAAGAAAAAATTCATTTTGTTGAGGACAAAGTCTGATATCATTGGGAAAAAGTTCGTCTTGACCTAATCAAATTTTAAGTTAATCTGGAAAAACTTAATTTGATGTGGATGTTTTAAATAAAAGTTCTATTTGATCTGAAAATTTTTGACTTCTTTGAAAAAGCGATGTGATCCAGGAAAAGCTCGATTTTTTTGGAAAAAGTTCAATATGATGTGGATATAGTATGATTTGATTTGGAAAGGTTTGTCTTCATCAGAAAAAGTTCGATGTCATCTAGAAATAAGAAATTCGATTTGGAAAAAGTTCAATTTGATATGAATAATTGATTTCATTTGTAAAATGTTCGTTTTAATTCAAAAAGTTCGTTGTGATCTGGAAAAAAGCATTTTAATCTGCAAAAGCTCAATTTGATTTAAATAAAATAAAATTTGATGTGC